GCTTATCACATGGTTACAAACCATGTGATAAGTATTGTGCTTTGTAAACACTTTTCCCTTATGTTTAATTTATGGTTTTATGTCATAATGCGGCTGTGCGCACACGACACAAGAGGTGAGAAAGTGAACTCAAAAGGCAGCTTTATTGCTGACACAAGTGGAAAACAGTACAAAACTAAACTGGGAAAATATAAACTAAACACAAGGAGAGGCACACAAGGAAACACACAGCCGTGGATGCGGAGATTGCGACATTGGCAAAGAGAAACACGGGGCTTAACTACACCGAGGAATAACGAGGGGAATGCGACACAGAAGGAGAGCACAGCTGGGAGTGATTAGGCCGGACGAGACAAGGGAAAGAAAACTAGAAAGACTGATATGAGACACGGACCTTCAAAGTAAAACATGAAAAGCACCGATTGAACTCTAAACACGTAAACTTAACAGAGACTGGGGAGACAGAACAGAGGCCTGAAGCGTGGGACAGAACGGCACAGAGTAGACACGGAACACAGGGAAGCCATATAACAAAAACTAAGAACTAAAACCTTAACAGCCATAACCGAACCTAGGGTAATAACGATAACTAAAATAATCAAAACAGCACAAAAAAGGACTCAGAACATAAACCATGATATAAAATACCAAAACACAAGAGACCCAAAATGCTGGGTCACAAAGACCCAGAACCGTGACACTTTATTAAAGGCTGGTGAACAGATAGTTAATTTAAACTATATATAATTTAACAGTTAACTAACAAATCATTTTTAATTGACCCATCACATTCATCTCACAACATTTTTAGGGGATAGATTGATTTGGCAGATTTTTCTTTTCTTGTTTCAACATCAGATGTCCTTCCTGACACAACCCCAAAAGCATTTGTATCTCCTCCCAGAGCCGAGCCAAGGCTCTTTTCTTTGTTAGGCAAATGTGCAAACCACTGTGATCTGTTTATAACATAAATAATGCAATCTATTAAAAGTGGTGATGTTATAGGATGGCATTTTAAACACCCCCAATAGGTCCCAGTTCCTCCAGTCTACACATTAAATTGTTCAGGTATGAAAGAGTGTGTAAAATTTGTACGGAAATGTAGAGTGCTTTTGGCGGTAACAACACTGCTTTGTATAATGGAAATGTAGCTTTTAAAGACGACAGAGTATCTCTTAATTTGGTTTTGGTAAACTGCAACGACTTCGATCACTTTATTTTGAACCATCTGATCAACACTGTAGCTATGGTATACACCATGAGAGCTCATCGGTGAGCTTAGAAACTCTTGTACTTTAACTGTGGAAGTGAGATCCATGACATCTGCTTCAAGGTTATTAGGTGTAGCAGAAAGGACACAAAACAGACATTTTCTCTTTTTGTTTACTCATGAAAAGCCCAGAGGAGTAGAAAAGACCCATGTAAAAACACATACAATGACTATACACAGACTGAGACACCAGTGATGAAAACACAGAAACAAAGTACCATCACTAAAATGTAGCGGCATTAAACCTGAGAGCATGGGCATGGAGGAAGCGACACCTGGTTAAAGTGCTCTGTTTGAAAAATCTCTGTAACAGGTGAGCTTTAAGAACACGAACAGGTATCACATGATTATTCTATCAGCCTGGCGCAGTTCCAGGGTGTGTTTTACTTTTGTAATTTAATAACTCAAAGTCAAACTGGCTTTTTTGTCATATAAAAAACAATTTGGAGCATTTCTGTAAGAAAACCTTGTTAAAACATACAAGTCATACAAGTTTTACTTTCATACACGAATAAAAAAACACAGACACCGTGTAACATATTTTAAATAAATGTAAAAAAGGTTATATGATGTTAGAAGTCAGTAATAATCATGACTGGTTTTTTTGTCATTTATCCTGTGTTTAATCACCGACTTTGGTTGATTGTGTTCAACAGAGGAAGGAGGGAGCATCTAAACCTAACCCACCTAAATCTGCCTAAACAAATGCTGCAATTACATACTGTCAGGTTTATATGGTTGATTGTCATTTATGCTTAGAAATATTTACTCATATATGCTTAGAGTTTAGAATCGATGTCATATTGATAGGGGTCTGATCCTTAGTAGTCTGCAAAGACTCTGTGTGCCTTCCAGACTGTTCTGGCATTCACACCCACATCCTGGGAGCATGGGAGAGGTCATTAAGAGGTCATACCTTCTTACTGTTTCATGGTAGGATAAACACATCTATATCTGTTTTAGTCTAAGTGCCTTTTGTTTAGATGAACTGCTGGACTCCCAGACCAGCAGGTTTAGGGAAGTCGTTTATGGGGTCACATTCTGACCACACACACACACACACACAACGCACAGACAAGGTACTCTTTGTTTGTATGCATATGTCATATGTTAATGAACCTATGCATACTCATGTAATCTCAATACAGAGCAGTGTTACAGGGGGAGTGGATGAGAGCGACTGGGGTCAAGCGCAGGAATGGCGTTTGTCCAGTTCTCTCCCGTGCACGAGAAACATAAAGAACTTTGCCTACTCGTGTCTTGCTTTGCTGTGTAGTTAAATTGTTTTGAACGTTCCAGCGAATAGGTTTAAGCTACAAACCCATCACATACAAATACTGCAATTGCAAAACATACATAAAACATCTAAATGTAGTGTCTCTGAAGCTGTGGAAAATAAAACGGGTAGGTATAGCACGGGCTGCAAATCATCCCGACTCACCAAATTCAGCCATTCACATTCACAATTCGCTTATTATTCAGCTGCAGAAATGTTACAGAGTGACTTCAGCCACATCTTAAATGTATTAACCTCCCCTTACTTATTTTTACTATTATCCATTTTAGTGCATTAGTTAGTCGACTAGAAAGTGCCGATGGCCTGTAGACTACTTTCTGCTAATCATGCCACCATGCCACAACGCACTGAAAGCTTTTGCAAGAGTCATTCTGCAGGTTGACTGTATGGCAGGACCTTAAAACATCTGCCCCTCCAAATGCAATGATTCATAGGAAGTCTTAGTGTCGTGTCTCACAGTGTTTGCAGATAGACCCCCTTACATTTTCCCACTCAAAGGGAGAAGCAAATGAGTGAAACAGAGAGACTAAATTCAGAGTTTGAACCTATTGCAAACATTAGCACGCTAATCGTCACTGTATTATGTAGTGTGTCAGTATGCCAAAGGCTTAGCAGCGGTTGGTTATTATTATTTTTACTGATAACTGTCTAATGATAACTTGGAATTCTAATTTAGCAGATTTACTTGTATTCTCAGGTGTCATAATTGATTTGATTCCATGTGAAGTGATGTTAGTGTTGATTTTATTTATTTATTTATTGTTTTTGCATTTGCCATGTTTTATTGGGGTATTTATATGTTGTATGTCGAGTTATTTTTAGCACTGCACAGTAGCAGAAGGTAAATTTTCCTCTGATACAATAAAGTTTTACCTTTGACCCAACAGTCGTGCTGAAGGCATCAAAGTCATTAGAGTTATCATCTGTGGATCACACAAATCCCATGAAGACACCCGTACTCATCACATTTGTAAGAGGTGTAATCAAGACGTTCTGGGAGTCAAAAATCAAAAACCAAACATGCTAAAAAATTTCAAGACGATATTCTAATGCATCTCTGGACAGCTCACAACACTGCTGCTGGCGTTCCTACATCACTGTCTTATTGTCAAATGACAAAAATCAGCTTCTTTTTCAAACTGTCCTGACTTTCAACTTGAAGCTCCTCACAGAGCATCAGGTCAGAAGTGGGACAACCCCTACCCCCCACCCCAGTAGTGCTACTGTTTCATCCTTGTATCTGCGTCATTAAAAGGAGTTCAGTTAGCCTTCTGCTGCTCCTGTTTGTAATGTACGCCTCCATGTACACACAGCTATCACTGGTTTACTGCAGTACTGTGAGAAACCGTAGATGCAGTGGATTTTCTTGTTGAAGTAACACACTGTATGTTTTTGTTGGTAAGGCGGTAGATGTTAGAATTAAATTTCCAGTCCGTCTCGCAGGAGAGCTTTGGCACGAGCTCGTTGTCCTGGTTGGCTGTGTTCATGCTCTCTCCCTCTTTCACTTCCTCTCCTCTCTCTGTTACTCCTCTGACTCTCTCCATCGTCTTTTCTTTTTGCCTTTGTGTCACCTCCCTCACCTCCTGCCCTCTCAAACTGCCTCCTTGCACTCTCCACCCTGCTCCCATGCTTCTCATCTCCCCTCTCCCTGTGCTCCCTCTTGTGGTGGCTCCTCTTTGAATACTCTCTGCTGCCTCCTAACTCTCTTTCTGACCCTCTCCTCTTCGTTGATGATATTTCGTGATCTTGGTGCGACTCCTTCCTGTTCTCAGTCTCCTGACATTGTCTCTTTTCTTCTCTATTTTTTGCCATTTCAGCTCTCCAGTCCTTCACTCCTCTATCCTCCTCGCTCCCTTTCCTGCTTTGCCTTTCTTCGCCAGTTCCTCTATTTAGATGTTCACCTCCTCTTTCTACCCCTTTCTCACTGCTGCTGCTATGTCTCCTCTTACTGCGGTCCCCTGTTTTTACAGATGTACTTTCAGGTGGCTTCCTTTCTCCTTCATCATCCCTGCTGCTTCTTCTCCTTTCACTTCCTCTCTCAGGTTTCACTCGCTCACTTTTGCTGCCCTCTGATCTGCTCTTCACTTCCTCCTGCTCTTTTCTACTTTTATGTTTCTCTTTCTCTGTTGTTTTATTTGTACCAATATCATCGTTTATCTTGCTGACCTTACCATTACAGTTGTCATTTCCAGCTGTTATTCTGTTTTTGGTGTTTTTGTCTTGTTTGCTTTCTTTCTGAGACTGTTGTTTCAGGACTTCTTTGGCAGTTTTGCCACTTGCCTTGTTTTTCTCCTCTTTTTCCTCATCGGGCATCTTTTCTTTGGACTTGCATTTCTCTTTGTCTTTGTCGTTACTGTCCTCCTGTTTTTTCTCCTTTTCTTCATCTTTTCCTTTCAAGCTCTTCTCCTTTTTCTCCTTCTCATCTTTTTCTTTTATGCTCTTCTCCTCTTTCTTCACCTTTTTAATTTTTGAATTTTCCTTCTCCATTTCTTTACCCTTCTTCTCAACCTCTACAACCTTCTTGTCCACTTTCTCCTCCAGGAGGTCCAGCTCCTGCTCCAGCTCAGCCAGCTTCTTTGGATCAGACACCAAGTCGTCCTCAACCTCTACTTCCACCTCCTCAACCTCCTCAAACTCCTCCACCTCAATGCCGTCCATCGTCTTCTGCAGCTGCGTCTTCACCCTGTTGAGCTCCAGGAGGCCATCTTGAAGGTCTTTACATACCTCTCTGATCTTGGTGGCAAATTTGGTTTTGGCACCCTTGCGAAGCTCATGAGAGTCTTTAGCGAGGAAGAAAACATCCAAAGCCAAAAAGAGTGCCGACATGACGCCTGTGGTGACGCTGATGGCCTGAGCGGCCTTGGCTATGCCGCCTGCCCTACCTAAAACCTGCACGGTGCTGACGAGCTGGTTGGTGTTGATCATCAGGGCTTTTCCCGCGCGGCCTCCCTCTTTCATCACGTGTTTAATGTTGTGGTTCATAGCTTTTTTGGCAGCACTTTGAGCGTATTTCTCAAAATCCCACTCCTGCAGGGTGTCAAGACCTTTCTACAGCAGAAAAGAGAGACAATAAAGAGATGGATATATTTGATTTTAAAGTCAAACCTGTTGATAAAATATTATTGAGATATCATTTTTTAACATTTATTAAAAGAATTATTATTTTCTTCTTAAAAGGTCGAGTTCACCAAAGTTAGGTGTTAAAGTTGGGTGTCCACGCTGCCCGCCCTCCTGCCCAACCAGCAGAGTGACGACAATACTCCATCAGCCTTTTACAGCCAAGGGGTATAAAGTACCAACCATACACAATCAGTTAAACATGGACTTAACTGACTGAATCTAGGCTAGATTACATCTCAGAGTGTCTAAATTCAGGGATACAAAACTCTGGATTTACAGTCCTAGGAATTTAAAACACTGCAGTCATTGTTGCAGTGCTGTAATGTAGTATTGTGTCACAGTAAACTGCCATATAAGCACTTGACCAGAGCAGCGCGTACCCATGCACAGGCGTTAACCTTTGAGAAAGAAAGGCTGCCACTTTATCCTCTTTGAAAAAGCCCAAATCAATACTTTTAAGTATATTTTAATACCTTAACAAAACTCGTAAATAATCTTGTGAATAAATAGCACATACAAAATAAGGTTTTCATTGGATGCTTTGCAGTCCTGTGAAATTTAAGTACATGCTTACTGCCTCCATAGAAATAACAGGTGCTGCAAGTCAACACAGCTTGGAGCTGTATGATGCCACCTGCTGAGGGATCTGTGATACTACTGCAAAGCTTAAGAGATTTCAGCTTGGGCAGGCAACATGTTTCTTTGCATTTCAAAACAAAACAAAAAAAATCCATCATATTTTAGTAGGCTCAGGAATGTATTCTGATCTCAGAGAGTGTGCTTTAAATACTTTGTTCTTAACCTTTTAGAAAAAATCCCCTCACCTGCACAAACTCCATGCACTCTCTGAGGACTTTGATCTCCTCCTGGTAGCCCTGGATCATTTTCTCCATCTTCTTACGGTCCATGTTGGAGTGGACCGTATCTGTGATTTTAGCCGTCGCTGACGTGATGCTGCCTGCCGTCGCCACACCGATCCCCACTGCTGTCACAATAATAGAGGCGCCAAAAGTGAAAGGCGCCAGAATGAGGCCTGTGATTGTGGTGACGCTACCCGCGACGCTGGCCACGCCTCCGCCCACAGCGGCCGACACAGTCTTCTTATGGAACTCATCCGCAGCGTCCGCCATAGCCAAAAGCTCCAGGATGCGATGCTGTAAGGACGCCCCGCGCTGGTTGAAAAGACGCACGAAAAGACGGGCTGCCATGTAGACGCGGTCGGCTGCCTGCTCCATCGCCCTGCAGAAACAGACACAAACAGAAACATTATGCTTATCAATCTGACACATAAAGTTGTAATTATTATTATTAAGACTAGATTTACTGCTGAATTTAAGCCTTAAAGTTGTCAACAAATCAAAAAAGAATTATACCCTAAAAACAAATGCAAAAATCTCAAATATTATGTTTACTGGAAACATGAAGGTAAAGTTATTAAAAAACATAAACTGTATTCACATTTCCTCATCCTCTGCCCGGAAATCAGAAGTCTCATTCCACTCCTTCCAACCTGGCAAACAGCAGCAGAAATAATACAACGAGTAGACAGAAAACATAAAAAATATATAATAGTTCTCCTAAATGTTGAAACTAGGGCTGTGCGATATGACCAAAATCTCATATCCCGACGATATGAGATTTATGAGATGAGACGTTATCGGACGATATTCTATCGTCCGATAACAATATAAATCACAAAAATGTAACATTTTCTGTAAATTCTGTGAATCTCGGGCAGCTCGACTTGCGGGAAGTGTTTCCAGCTGCGCGCCATGTAGCTGGAGTTGAGTGTTTTAACCGATGCATGAAACGATACATTTTTAGACATAAGTTGTAAAGGCCGCCGTTTTCTTTTCTTTTCTGTGCTGCAGGGAAAAGCCTGTTCTAACGTTTGAGTCCAAGGTTTATTTTTTAGCACCTGGCGGCTCTTTTTTAATTCTCATCTGCTCTTTCACGTGACTCAGTTTATTTTGAAAAGTCTTAACTGGATCTTGAGCTTTATTGTGAAAGGTTTGTGGAAAATAAACAAGCGGACACGCGATGCTGTTACCGTTGTTGTTGCTAACCATAACGCATAAAAACAGGCGCTTGTCCGTCTGTAGTGTGGTTATATTAAATATAAGAGAAAGAGAGAACTTTAAGAAATGAATATAGCCACTACGGTGACCATCAAAAACGATGAAAAAAATATTGCCGTAAACAGTTTATTTTGCGACACCGCGAAACAAACGATAGCGTAAAATGAAACGATAGACGTTTTTCTATCATCATCCGATATATATCGTTATATCGAACAGCCCTAATTGAAACCACACTAACCTTTGACTGTGTTCCACCACTCCAAAAGCTCATCCTCTTCCTGAAAACAAGAAGCTTGAATGAAGAGACAACTCATCTGTCAAATACCATAAATGACTAACACTCACAAACTCTGAGGCTCACCGGCTCAGTTTCGACTGGGTTTTCCTCAGTCGGATAAGCAGCCATCTCCACCGGCTGAACCTCCACTGTGCTCTCCTGGAAAACAAATAATAAAACAGCTGTTAGTCGCACTGTTGCGAGTTTCCTGTCAATTTAAGCACCTTGAGACGCTTTTGTTGTGCACTGGCGGTACATAAATAAAACTGAACTGAATTCATGAAGGCGTCTCTTGATTGCAGTCTTTGAAAGTGATGTGTCTACTTCCTTTGATAGTGTTCTCGACTTGGCTCGATGCTATGATATTGGGTTTTTTAAAACCATGAAAAATATTCTGTCATTATGCACTTCAGTTTTCTTCAGTGGTGTTGCTGAGCTGATCATTGTAGTCGAATCCACCAGACTGTTGATTCGGTCACTCCTAATTTTTCCCCCCTCAGTCTCAGTGAGTTAATGCAACACTTTTGTTAAACCCTGTGAATTAAAGCTGATAATCTGAACTCCAGCCACATATTACATTCTGCTTAAAATCCACTGCGGTGGTGTACACATTGTAAATTACGATATACATATAATAACACATACGTGACAGGTCCACATCAAAAGTCAGAGGTTATCCTATACAAACATTTCTTGTGTGAAAATTTAGAAAAATGAAAATTAAAGACAGTTGAAAATCATAGTTCTGGTTGGAGGTTAAATTAAACAATATGAACATCAAGTGGAGAATTTTAAAAATTTCATTCATGAACCACAATGAATATTTTAACTTAAAATCTTTAATGCCATCATGCTGACCTGTGCTGGGCTCATCTCCTGCAACTCAAGAGTTTCCTCAATGCAAGGAATTTCATCTGAAGTCTGTGGAGGAAAAATGATGATGGTTGTCATAGACCACAATAATCTACACTGAAAGACTTTACATTTTACAGACTGACTGCAAGTTAATTATTAATAAATATAACTTTGGAAAATCTGGTGGAAAAATAAGGTAAAAAAAAAAAAACGCCAACAAAACAAAAATAACAACAGACAGATGCAGGTACCTGAGAAGCCAGGCCAAGTTTGGGAATGTTAGGAAGAGTTTTCTTAACTCGGAATGACACAACCTGAAAGAAATAAACAAGAGTAATGTTTTATTTATTTAAGTGGAGCTTTGACATCAAAACTGAGAACTCAAATGATGTAAGAAAACGTCTGGATATGCATTGATTATTGTTGATGAACTCCAACTACAGCAGCTGACACTGGAAGTAAAAAGCATACGTCGCACTGATTGTGCTTATTCCTCCTCGTATGCGCTCTTACTCGTCTTTTCTTTTTGATGGTCCTCTTGCGTCTCAGCCCGCCTCCTGCTGGAGCCTCCATGTCCTCATCTTCCTGCAGCAGACAACAGGAATAATTTATTTTCAAGAGAGATCGGCTAAATTTCCTAAAATGTTACTTGCCCAAATTATTAGCTTAAAAAGCTTAAAAAGTTGGGATTTTTATGTGATTGATGTCATTTCTACCTGTTGCTCCTCAGTTTTGGGCGTCCTTCTGAACATCCCAGTGATCCCGGAGAAGACGACTTTTTTCTCCTGTTAACAAAATAAAACCATGAGGCATTTATTTATTTATTTGCTAAACCTCAGAAACAGTGTTAAAATCAAAAGTCTGACCTTTGGGGTGCTTGAAGCTTCTAAAAGATTGTCATTACTGGCAGACAGCTGACTGTTTGCCAAAGCCGCCTCCTTTAAAAAGACAAATACAGTCTTATATAAACTATTAGCACTTATTTTGTGCACCAAACAGGGACAAAAATGTAAAGATTACACTATAATGTTTAAAACCTTTGATGCAGAGTCTCTCATCTAAACTTATATTTAGATTTGCTGGCATCACATTATTAATACAGAGCAGAATATTATTTCTGTGTGCTGCGTCTTACATGCAGCAGCACAAATAGCCTAAACCAGACACTGCATTTCCACAAGTAGAACTCCACAACACTGAGAAAGGATAACTTCCCGACCTGATTATCCTGACAGTAGTTTCAGTAGTAATCTCACCTTTCCTGCATCTGTGAGGCTGTCACAGCTGGCTGACAGCTGCCTCGAGAGGGGATCCTGGAAAAGAAATGCAGTGAATTCAGGAAAAAAGTCCAAATTATTGTATTAAATGATGAAAACAGTCTTTTGATTGATGGTGCTTTCAAAACTTTGGTCTGGTTGAGCGTGATGACATGACAATAAGATTTTATTAGCTGTGTGACATCTGCTTTTGTTTGTGTGTTTGTTTAAATTTTTCATTATTTGCATCCTTGTTTGAGCTGCTGTGGAATATTTTCAGAAGTGAAATAAATATAAATGACATTTTGATTCTTGTTTTGAAGTAAGAAGTAATGACAAATGCGAAGGAAGAAGTACAGTTTTGGCCTTAAAGAGTCATTTTCTGATAATGTACTACATCTAACTCTGAAAAGCATAAAAATACATGAAAAATCCAAATGTATTTGGCACCTGAGTAGCGACAGAGCGTGGAGCTGGTTTGGGAGACTTTTTGAAGAATCCTGCCAATCCTCCTGTTTTTTCCTGAAATATATGAACAGTAAATAATCAAAGACATAAATGAGGGTGAAACAGGTCATGACTGTGACTGTCCAAATGTTCTGGTCCACATCTGTACCGTTGCTGTGTTTGCTTCTGACAGGTTTTCATCGCTGGTTGATAATTTCTGTTCTTCATCTGCGTTTGTTTCCTGAACAAACACAACATAAAGCATAAAAAAGACCAACACAAGTACAACTGAATATCTTTGAGTGTATTATAGTTATTTAAAGGGCAACACTGCACCTCATCTGCTGGTTTTGGAGCTCTCTTGAACATCTCACTGAAATGTTTTTCCCCCTGAAATCAGACAATTAACAATCTTGCTAACAGACAGTACAGATTACATCAGTTTCATAAGGTCTGTCTGAAAAGTAACATGGCTAACAATGACTTCTTCTTTTTCTTTTTATTAGGATCAATATCTCCAAATATTGATTGGAGATAAAACAGTGTGTTGAACTGAGGAATCCAGAAGAGAGAAAACAAAAACGAAGCGTAACTCAAGCACCAAGACAAAGTTAAAATGTTGATGTGGAAGTGGTTAAAGTGTGACGACATGAAATCCCACAAAGGAAACGATCTGACAAACAAATAAAAAAACAAGACAAGAATGAAGCAACTCAGTATGAGGTCTGCTTTTATACACAGTTTCAAGATTACACGGGATGCCGTGTGTGAAAGAGGAATATTACTGATTTAGCATAAACACTGAACGTAAAAATCTGAACATGTAATCGCTCTGCGCAGGGCTGACACTGACCTTATCCAACAGGTTGTCAATGCTGCCGGATCTTTTTAAAATTTTAGCCAGGCCTCCTTTTTTCTGCTAAAACAAACACATTTAAGTTACTTTTTAAAATTCATTAAAACATTCAGTAGCAAAAACTGTCTCAGGGAAAATAAAACAGGAACTTGACAACACGCCGACTTTCGATATCAGTAAGCCTCAATGTCACAGTGATTTATTCTAGTACTGTACGGAAGTTTAACCCTCACTGAAGTGTACTTGCATAGTATTTTAATTTCCTCTTATACTTCTACTCCCTTACAGTTATTTGACATCTAAAGTTATTGCTTAATTTTCTTAAAAACACACTTAAGTTAGTAAAATAAAAAATAAAAAAAGCACCGTTCACACATTGTGTGCAAAATGTCCTCACCCGAATATTTTACTCCTTCAGTTAAGTTTCACATAAGCGTATACTACAAGCAGGTAGGTGGAGAGTTTGAGAAACTGGCTGCTTAGAAGTGGACGAGGACATGTCCACGAGGACGTCAACATGTCAAATCGATTTTTATTTCAATTCAATGTGCAGTTGTCAAGATAAGATGTGATGTGTCCAAAGAATTCTTGCAAAAAGTGTAAAACAAACCAAAGAATTATATGTAAATACAGTATTTAGGACTTACTTTAATATTTAAAAAACACAATAAAATAAAAAGGGACCTTCTCTGCTTAATTACTACTTCAACTGTAAGTACTTTAGAGTCTTTTCTTTGTAAGATTTTACTTGTAATAAAGATTTTGACACATCTGCAGAGGTTTTAATTATGTAGATTATTATATAAGTATCAATATTTCATGACACATATTTGAAAGCAGTAAATGACTCATTGCACTCACTGCATCAGATCTAATGTGTGTGGCCAGGTTTCAGTTCATGTTCACATGACTAACGCAGCTACAGTTGATTTTTGTTTTGTTTTTAAAGGAGAAGAAGGTTTTTTTTGTTTTTTAAATCGAGTACCTTTGTGACGGTTGTGTCATTCACATTCTCACAGCTGGCAGATAACTGAGCCTCAGTATTTACCACCAACTCCTGAATTAAAAGCAAAGAACAATAAAAACCAACGTCTCCTCTGTAGCTTGGTGTTTGATTATAAGACCTGGTTCATTAGCGGTTTCAGTAAAAGTTGCGGATGAAGAGATTTGCCATAGAAGTTGGGTTTTTTTGTTTGTTTGTTTGTTTTTGTTTGAGCCAACAGCTCATCATGAAATCATGAACTCTGTGTGTTGGCTTGGTGACAGACTTGATTTGTCTATGGCACCCTTCCTTTTACCCTGTGACAACCAGGGTAGGCTTCAGCCCCCTACGACTGTAAATTAGATGAGCAATAGAGGACAGACAGAAGGGAGTGTCTGACATGGTGATGCTTAACCAATGTGTGCATTCATCAGAAAGACCAAAGCAAAGCACTTCTGGAAGTTGTAGAGTATTTAGGCAATACCACCACAGTGACAAAACAAAAAAGAAAATCTTCCAAAATATGCATACGTATAACCAGGAAAGTATCACTATGACTGAATATGAAAAATAAGAGAAAAATTGTTTCCTGTACATTTAGCTTTTTTTAGTCTGCCTATGTCAAGTTCTGCTTGTCCCTGAATATAATAAACACGTCTTTGTCATTTCTGTTTTGCTTTCTCTGGTACGTTTAGCCAACAGCATATCTGTAATGCAGGGCACCAATTCTTAAACTGTAAGGCCTATCTATAGTAGACCTGAGAGGTCAAATGCACTGCAACTTAAGAAAACACCTCCCTTTCAAAGTGTTGACGTTTAGATAGTGATTGTTCTCATTTATCACCTTCCCACCATTACCTTCACTTTGCCTGCTCTCTAATCCTTTAATTTACCTTGAAGCACACTCTCACGATCCAATTTTTTATTCCTGTGCACTCCATTTATACTCTTTTGTAAATATTTATTTGGGGGCTTTTTTTGCCTTTTTTGACAGGGTGAGAGAGAGCCGGGGAAGGGGACTCGAGCCCAGGTCACTGCATTTCAGCCATCAGGCATATAGGCACCTGCTCAACCAGTGAGCAACACTAGTACCTGAATTTATATTCTTTAGTAATAAATATAAACTTCACTTTAATTTACATTGTTTTCAACCAGTTTATATTCTAAATGTGGGGAGCATCTTTAAATAATCACTAACATTCATAAACCTTTCTTCTGTAAAACCTTTATTTGCCACTCCAATATAACCAGGGCTGCACATAAGTGGTCTGCAGGTGCGCATTCACTGTCAAAATAAAAGACGCGCACCAGATAAGAAGTTGTAAGGCGCGTTTGCGTACATATAAAAGGCACTGTTTTTGTCCGCTAGAGTGGGATTTTCACAGCATATTTGCACCACATCTCTGTGCGTTCATCATTTGTTTGAAGCCAGCTCACCTCCTGCAACCACTTTTCTGAGAATACGCGCTTCTTTTGCGGTTCGGACTCCTTCTGACATTTCTGTGGAGGTGGAGGAACACCAAAGTAATTGCTTAAAGGAGCTTCTTCGACATCTTTAAGAGTTCTAAACAAATGTCTGTCCTCCTCCAGAAAATCTTATGTACGCAAACGCGCGTTGCAACTTCTTATCTGATGCGCGTCTTTTATTTTGCCAGCGAATGCGCACCTGCGGACCACTTATGTGCACCCCTGAATATAACCTCCTGCTGGCCTGTGAATCTCTTATCATCCTAACAAACCCCAGCTCCATCATCTTGGATCACAGCTGGTGCTGGTCTGATTAGAGTGGCCCTCCACCTTGCAGCGGTTGTCCAGAGCAGAAAAAAAGACTGCTGTTGTCCGAGATGGTTGAGTGTGACCACAGGATGAGCTCCTCAGCAGTCCTGGTGTGAAATCTTTTATAATCCTTCTAGTTTGCATTATTGGGTGTGTGTCTGCTTTGATTAAAGGTTGGTGCCAACCTTGGCAGATGTAGCTTGTAGCTGTCTGTTAGGCTCCACCTCCTTTCTCCTATACACAGTAGAAAAAGGTTTTCACCACCAACTGGCGTTTTCATCAGTCAGTTAGCAGTGTCTGGTTCAATCACCCTCAGATTTCTGGCTTCAGATATGAATATTATAATAACACAAAGTCCTCCAACGTTTGTTAAAAACTCTTTTTTGTTGACACTTTTGCCTCCATTATCTTCACTGAGCTGTTTACTCTTTTAACTTATCTTAACACATATACTATAAACTCCATTTCCCCCCCATGTTCTCCACTTTACACCTTTTAGTATTTTACTGACCACCACATGAACCCTACCTGAGTTTCCTTCAGCTTAAACCAATATTTGCAGTAGTTCATGTTTTTCCTACAGACGTAAGATTTAAGATGTTTGTGCGTGTGCATGTACCAAAGGTGCAAAAAAAGTATTTCTGCATGTGCATATGAATGGATTTGAGTGCTGCAAAAGACTGACTCTGAAATACATTTTTAAAAAGCCACTTTTAAGTTTCTCCTCTGCAAACATTTTAACTGTTGTGTATTTCATGATGTAGCAGAATGATGTAATTCAGCTGCCTCGCCTGCGAGTCTCATGTCACGTGGGTGAACTTGGACTGCATGGGTGCTGCAGCTCTCAGCGAACATCTAGAGCAGTATGAGGACATGCCGCGTGTCCAAGATGGTCGAACTGGAGTCTATTTAATGGTGGAATGAGGTCCTCTATGGAGAAGAAGCTGAATGATATTTGCACTGCCACAGTAAAAACTAGTCTGGAACATAAGAGATGGGGGTAGGTTGGAAAAGTAAGTAGTGACTGAACTTTTAAAATTAGAGATGGACGACTGTTCCGCACTTTTTATTTTCTAATACAGACTAGAAATAGATAAAAATAAGTCCGCAAATGTATCTGGGTGGCCTCCCCAAATGCACACTAGTTATTGAGAGCCTGTCATTTAATAATTTCAGCGGTTTACACAACCCCTGCCGGGCATCCCTTCTCCAGGAGTTTTGGGAAAAAAAATTATATTTTCTTGGTGACATCAGAACAATTAATTGGAATTACATCAAGATAATATTAAATGATCCTCACCTTTGACTGGGCTACAGTCAGATCATCATTGGAGTTGGGTAAGTCACCATGCAGGGACTGCTGGTCCTGAAACAAAATTTTTTGTTTGAGTAGTTATGAAAAACATCATGGGAGTCAGGGAATGTTTTATCAGATTTTCTAACTGATCACTTTCAGCTTTGGCTTGTTTCGGCAACTTCTTTAACATCCCAGCGTGTCGTAGTTTTTTTTCCCTGAGACAAACAGGAACAGTATGCTCGTGCTCATTTATCACAGATCTCTGTGTGTACATTAAAATTCCACGTGACGTTATCTCTGCTGCCACTACAGCAGCTGCTGGACCTCACCTTGTTTTTAGACAGGCTGTCGCTGCTGGCAGAAAGCTCACTGTGGGCACTCAGATTCTCCTGAAACACCAAAGTCATTTGAGAGGGAAAAAAAATATACCGATAAACTAAAATTAATGTTTCTGTCCACGTATTTCTAAGGCAAATAAGTTCTCCTAAAAGTTAAACCATTATTTTAACAATTTAAATTGTTATTTTGAACAGTTCTGTTGCAAGCTCACCTGCGTTGGCGTCTCAGCGGCTGGTTTTTTTGGCTTTTTAAGGAAACCAAACAAGTAGCTTCCCTTTTCCTAAGATAGATTAGATAAAACATGATGATGACCACACATCTCCATCTTTCCACAAACACAAGAGAATTGATATTGATGATCTAAACGCATGTACAAAATTAGAGCTTCCGAACAAAAACAACTCCATGGCAGCTTGTCTAACTCCCTCCCTCGGCCTCTATCCTCTTGTGCAAGAGAATTTCCTCATTTGCTAAAGATAAGAAAACTTACATGAGACATCTCTGATGTTTTCTCCTCTTCTTCTAGGTCTTCAGAATTACTGTCTGCTTTATTGTCCTGCCCAAAAAATAAGAGCGTGCAATTTGATTATCAGGTGATGGAAGCAGTAACCTAATCATGCGAGCTTATGTCTTTTGTGTGACTAGTTACGCAATACATGTGCATATAATCTGGTATGTTTTATGTGTATTTTTGATGATTCTACCTGATCAGTTTGAAGACTTTCTGTTGGTTTCCACCTCTTCTTTAACATCCCACTGTACCATTGGTTTTTTTCCTGAAACAGACACGAACAGCATGCTCATGCTCGGTTATTCTACCCAAAGTCAGACAACTAATTTTGCAGGTAAATATACCACTGAGCTGTATGTGTACACTGTAATTCCAGATAACATTATCTCTGCTGCCACTACAGCAGCTACAGGGCCTCACCTTGTTTTCAGACAGGCTGTCGCTGCTGGCAGAAAGGTCACTGTGAGAACTCAGATTCTCCTGAAACACCAAAATGATTTCAGATTTTAAAAAAGATAATAACACTAATATTATCCAAAAAGTTGATTCTGGACTCAGCATTTTCAGTGGGAGAAACATTTCGCCACTCATCCAAATGACTTCTTCAGTCCCGGCTAACTGCCTGTTTCCCCAGATGAAACAATGGTCTGATTGTTTCATCTGGGGAAACAGTCACTAAAACGTTGGAGGTGGTTCATAGGAGATTACAGGACCCCAACCTCAGCAACAGGACCACTCTCAGGACCGACCAAATGTGTTTGTGTCTTCATTCCACCTATTTCACATGCAAGGGTCAGTACTACAGACAGAAAAATGGGTGTGCCATGGGTTCCCCAGTTTCACCCATTGTGGCCAACTTGTACATGGAAAAAATGGAAAAGAGGGCTTTGTTATCCTACCCTGGAACATCACCAAGTCATTAGTTTAGGTATGTGGATGACACCTGTTCAGTTCAGTTCATTTTTATTTCAAACATATACATTCACCAACATTTCATAATATCATTCCATGCAGTTGTTTGAAAAGGAGTAGGCAGAAGTATGTATTTATTTAGCCCGACCCCCTCAGGTTTACATCTTAATCATTTCCTCGTCATCTAAATTTAAACAAGAAAAACGTATACAATGGTTTCAACTTTTCTCACATTCGACTAAAACTATGTTTAGATTTACTATTTTGCAAAGGAAAATAAACATCACTTTGACTGCTGTCTTGGGTTAATTGCATTTTCTTCATTCTTTTACTTATTTAAAATTTATTTTTTGAGTTTTATTTTAAACTGGTTTATATCACTACTGACTAGAGATGGACCGATCCGATATTACGTATCGGTATCGGTCCGATACGGACCTAAATTACTGGATCGGATATCGGAGAGAAATAAAAAATGTAATCCGATCCGAAGTATCACAAAATCACCTCACAAAACGCGCTACTTGGCGTAACCCAGATCGGCGCATCGGAGCAGTATGTGTCACGTGATAGAGCGGCTGTTTGGCGGTCTGTTGGAGCATTTGGAGCCTCGTACGTGCTTCCTAACTGCGGCATTTCATCTCGGCGAAAACTATCCCAGAGAAGTAAAGCAAGTGTGTAAGTTCATCCCTGAATGTTTGCATAGTATTTCCACGTTAAGCTTAACAACTGATATATTGAGCCACAGCTGGACTGGCCATCGGAGTTCCATATTGAGGTGAAAAGGAAGCGATTTGTCCCATACTTCAGCTAGAATTAAAAAATAGACACAAAGCTGGAGTTATTCTGTCTTTGCTGCGCAGTTGCATCTACTTCTCTCATTCCCTCCCCCTTCCTCTCCTGTTATTACTTCAAACATGAAACTGATCAATCATCAGCTGATCGGCTTTTCTGCCGCAAGTCCCGTCTTTCTTGTTTGTTTATCGCCCACTTTGCGCTAGAAAGAGGAGACCAGCGGCATGTTTAAGCGTGAAAAGCTGTTGTTAGAATGTATTTAACATTACTTTCTAGTATCAGCTGATGTTTGCTGGGGCCACAGCTGTAAAAGCTGCTGGTCATGATATCTGTTTGGATATGTGGTGAGAGGGAAACATGAAGATGAATCCAGGAGATGTCCTTACTGAATCGTCAGAGCTGAGCAGGTGATGGAGAAACAGGTTTACCTTTTAGGTGACATGAATGAGTTGAAGGGAAGTTATGAACTGTTTCTGAGAGACAAATAACACCAAGATCCTTTTCTAAGTAGCTGACGGCTGGTAACTGTGCAGGGGCGGGTCTAGCAAAGCTTTGTCAGGGGCCAGGTAGGGCACTAATAGGGAGAGGGGGGCACAAAGAAATACTTTTCTTTGTTATGTCATTTAAAAACTTTGAATAAATAATTATCTGAATCTTACAACAAAAGTGGTCATCTGATTAAATGTATAGAAATCCATTATTGTATATAGTAACTAATAAGTCTAATATACACCCTAGTAAGCTATAGTACTTTTTCCTTTGGAAAGGTACCATCTGTGCAGTCTGCAATTCTGTTGAAGCAAGATGTTGAATCTATTTAAATATTGAAGAAAAATAATTGATTTCTGTGCATTTGTTTTACACTTGCATTAAATTAAAGTTGATTACATCGATTAAGGGCGGGGGGTGGTTCCCTAATATTTTTGCTGGGAGTTGGCAACCCTATTAGTTAGGTTGCTTAATATATCCACTAAGTACTCTTTAAAATACCAGAATAGGGAGGATGGTGTAGGTTTAAATTTATTAGATTGATCAGTGTTGCTGAACTATAAAATGGAGTGCATTTTTTGCATACAGGTATAACAGAATAGCTTCAATCTCTTGTTTTTTAAAACTTGAGTATGAACTTATACAAAATGCAGCAATATATTTATAAAAAAACAGTTTTATTGATTACAAAATACGCTATATCGGATTCATATCGTATCGGCAGATATCCAAATTTATGATATCGGAATCGGTATCGGACATTAAAAAGTGGTATCGTGCCATCTCTACTACTGACCTTCATTTCTTCTTTTAACTCATTCCAGAATTTAACTCCCGCTATTGAAATAGACATCCTTTTAAAAGTTGTTCTTACTCTTTGTATTTTTAAATTCCACTTCCCTCTAAAATTATACCTCCCTTCTCTCTCTAAGAACCATTTACTTATTTCGACTGGGAGCATCCCTTTCCTTGCTTTATATATTATTTGCACTGTTTTAAACTTTACCAGATCCTGGAATTTTATAGCTTGCGTCTTAATAAAGAGTGCATTTGTGTGAGTCCTATACCCCTCCTGATCCTGAGATTTGATTGTCTGGGTGAAAATCAAATCTCAGGATGTACCACAATTCACGGATCACATTGACTCGGTGGACCAACACATCAAATTCACCAGGGAGGATATGAAAAGTGGCAGGTTAGCCTCTTAGACTGTGAGATTTCTATCAGTAATGGGGGACATTTAAAAGTTGACGTATACCGTAAACCTACACATATGGATCAGTATTTAAGGTTTGACTCTCATCATCCACTGGAGCACAAACCTGGTATCATCAGGATGCTAGAACACAGAGCAAACACCATCCCCACAGACACAGTGGCCAGGGAAGCAGAAGAACATTTTTATTTCTACATTTTACATCATTTTATTATTTAAGAAATAGTGCACACTCACTTGTGCTGACATCTCATTTGGTGATTTTTTTTGTTTGTTTTTAAGGATACCAGAGAAGAAACCTCTCTTTCCCTGGAAAGGAATGTTTGTTTGTTTTCTTTTGGCATAAACACAGCAGCAAAATTAATTCAAGGTTACTCCAGACTGCTGCTGTACGGCTTATGAACAGGATCTAAATACATACACAGAATTAGAGCTTTGTGTTTAAATGATGGCATCTTTGCCTCTTTCCTCCTGTGGAGTTTCTCCCCAATGCTAATGCCACTGCAACAAAACTTACATGGGACGTTTCTGATGTTTTCGCCTCTTCTTCTCCTTCTTCAGCATCACTGACGGCTTTACTGACCTGAGAGCAAACAAGAAAAAAAGAGTCAAAAAAAATTATCCAACATTAAGTCTACACACTAATCATATAATGTGTGCATTTTAAATGGAAAAGCAGAACTTTACTTTTAATATTCTTTTATCAGTTTGTACCTGTTTGGGTTCTGCGGTTTTTTCTTGCTTGATTTTCTCTACAGATTGTTGGTTTTCTGAGGCCACTTCTTCTGTGCTAGAATCTGGACTCTGCTTTCTGCTGGCCTGAAAAAAGAGTCAACAATGTGATTGATAAACAAAAAACAAGACGCAAAAAACCCCCCCCACAAAAACAAATGTGGCTATACCCTAAAGCACGGGCGCCAACATCTACAATTTCTTTACATATGAAACAAGTTGGTCATTAACCAAAACAAAGTATTGTAACAGGCAAATGCGGCTCTCAACAAAGTTACAAATGAAGTGACGTCATGTGAAAACTTAGTAGGCAGTAAACAAAGTAGACCCCAAAAAACATGTTAAAGACAGGAAGTGTGATTTTATGCACAGTGTTGGGGAGTATACATGTACAACTGTTACGTATTTAAAATACAAAATATGAGTGACTGTATTCCGTTACAGTTACCGTTTAAAAAGGTAGTATTCAGAATACAGTTACTTTGTTGAAATAAATGGATTATTTTCCTGTTTCATATGTTAGGCTGTGCCCTTTTTGGTAATTCCACGCCGGTGGAAACCCGAACAAAACACGCATTAAGAGGCTCTAATGCCTGTGTCTCAATCTCAGGGCCCATGTCACCTCGACTTGCAGCCCGCATAATCACATGAAGAAATATTTTTTAAAATTATTATTTAAAAAATGATTTAATATGAAGGCAATAGGCAGAGTTTTACAGGCATAGCCCTAAAGAATGTAGCCTCATGGGCAGTGTAGTGCTGCAGGGAGAATGGACTGCCATACCCATTATGTGTCTGTGAGCGCGAGGAGGGAGAAAAAGGAGAGTCGAACAGTAAGAGTTGTGACCGACCAGAAACGGGAGATGGGAGCATGTAAATATAAAAATAACCACTGCAGCCAAAAAGAGTGCCTGACGAGCCCAGTTGTAAGTAAGCTATTAAGACTCGAAGGTTCCGTTGGAGCAGCCTTTCAACGCCGCTCTTTGTCTCTCGCTAGCAAACTTGACCCAGACAACAAAGTAAAGCTAGTTTTCGGCTACGAGCCCAACACGGAACCCGATGTATTAGCCAGAGGTCCCTTTACTACGGTTCGGAGCCGCAGACCTGTTTTATATACGCGGGGAATAGTTTTCTATACGAGATCGCTGCTAAAAGTGCAGCCTTACCTAATGTCCACCCTACTGTTACTCATTTTATATTAAGATTTAAAAATCTAGTTAGTATTGGTATGGCGAGCAACCTTCAGTAAAAGTAATAAATCACACAGCAATAGTACATTCATGTAGTTGTAAAAAGCACGATAATATATTAAGTAATCCAAAGTATTCAGAATACCTACGTAACGGAATACGTTACTAAATACATTTTGGGGCATGTATTCTGTAATCTGTAGTGGAATACATTTTAAAAGTAACCTTGCCAACACTGTTCATGCACCAACTTTCACGTGCTTGCACATCTTGGTGGATTGTTAAAATAGGAAAGTGTTTATAAACACCAGAGCTAAATTAAACCAACAAGTTGTTTTCAATTTGTGCAGCCAAAGATATATTTTGTGTTATCGTCTTATTAAATATTCGATCATTTTTGAAAGTAAAGCAACATCAAGGCAAAGTGAAGAAAACCCACACAGTGCAGTTAACACCACCGCGACCATCAGTCAAAGTGTTTGAGAGACAGTAACGCGCAGCAGCCACCACTAACAGAAAGCTCAGGCTGGGCTTCGTACCTTTGGCGATGACTTGAATTGCAACCCTTTCATTACTGCTTTCAGAACGCCCTGCCAACCACAGTCACATGTCACAAAAACAGCTGAGATCACTGACAGTGGAGCGCTTGGTAACACGCATGACACATACCGGTTTGCTGTCGGGAGCCTGTTTGACTGGGACGTCATCAGTCTTTTCCTCTCCATTCGTCATGTAACCCTGAGTAGGAAAAAAAGAAAGCTCAGCACACCAATCCACATTAAAACTAAACTCTGACTACTCAGCTGACCAGAAAGGCTCAGAAAGAGTCACAAACAGCAGCTCTCATATGTGGAGAGACCTGGCAAAATGGGCTGGATTATTATTCTTATTTATTTAAATGCTGCAGAGATCTTTAACTTTTTAATCTCATGATGTGATGTACTTTGTTTATACAGAGACTATGTTTTTATTTTTTGTTAATGCTTCAAATTCTCATATTTTCAAAATTTTCCCAACTTTGATGTGAGCGACTGAAGCGACTACCAATGAGAGTGAAGGACACTGGTGATTCATTTGTGGCAAGGTGGTAAATACACAAGATTGTTACTTAGGCAATTGGCACATTTTCTAGCAAGTGACCATCAACGACAAAGCAATGTGTGACAATGTGCGCTTTTTGTCTGGACGCCGCTTTATGTTTCATTTATACATCTGCGTTGAATCTATGTAGACCTTACAATGTAGCCCACAAGACTATCCAAAGACAGCATTCACACCTGTGCAGGTGGATGAACATTAGTTTGCCCTACTGCACAGGGTTTCGGGAAAGTTTCGATTACAATGTACCTACCACAGATTCAACGCAGAACAAAACATCCCTTATTAGTCCTAACACTGATTCCTCTGCTTGAGGGTTTCCAGACTGGCAAGAAGACAGGACAAGGGGCGAGTCAAGATTATTAAAATGGAGGGGAAATTGTTTCTAGGGAGGAACAGGCATCATAATTTAAAAGAAATATTCATTTATATAATGAAAAATAGGATTTCGCCACTTCCACATCCATCATTAACTAATTTTGAAACAACTTGTTGTGCATCACTGCTTACAGAACAGTATAAACAACAAGTAGATACATTAGCCTGAAACAGTGCAAAAGTACACACACACACACACACCCTGATATGCTAACACAAAATGTTAAAGCTTGTCTAAAGCCCTGCTGTGCATTTACACTGAACAGCTGGAGGTGCTTTGCTAACAGTGAAAATGGGCGCTCTCCCTTTTTGGCTCCACTGAAATATTCCAGTCAGCATTGAGTTATTACCCTACAACAAAGCACACGTGTAGAGAAAGAGCAAGACATTGTATGTACTGTGCATGAACTAAGCCTGAGCTGAGCATTATTGGGTGCAGTTCAAATACCTGTTTGAAGTCTGCATCATCTTTGGGAACCGCAGCAGCTTCAAGTTGCTCAGTTTCTTTGGCACTCTGGAAAGAAAGAGGAAGGTTTTGATCTGGGAGTTTATGAAAAGAAGCGAGGAGGAAGATGGTACTTTGCTGCGTTTGTACCTCTGTGACCTTGGTCTGTGCGCTCGGCCTGCGTTGGCTGTATCTGGTTGGGGCGTTCAGTTCCTGCAAACACAAAACGCCCCACATGGAACAATAACAAAAGACATATGGAACAGGAAAGAAACATGAAACCCTGAGAAGCTCCAAACTCATGTTCATTTCAACATGAAAACAGAAAACAGTAAAACAATAGTTTTACATTGACCCTGAGAAAATGTGCTGTACCTTCTCTGTGGGTCTGGGTGGGACCACGGGCGTCTCGGGTGGTTTATCTTTTGTCTGTTGTTGCTTCACATTTCCATCGTTCTGATAAAGAAAAAAAAAGTTGTAAACTTGTTTTTAAAGGTCACACAAATGAGCGAGATATCTGAAGTAGGAAAATGAAGGAAAGCTGTAATGATGTAAGTGGTAAACAGCAGTAGTGGAGAAGCAACACAATGTGTACACACCCCATTGTATGCTGCTGTGACTTTTTTCAGTCTGTATTGTGTGTGACTCAGTTCCTGTGGAGAAAATACAAATCTGGTTTGAAATAAATGAGTACAGTAGAACAATTTAAAACAGATTTTTAGAAACCACACAGTTTTTTAGACTGAAGAGCCACTTTCACACAAAACTGTAGAGAATCCTGTCAGAACATTATTCAAAGTTCATCTTTCTCACATTCAGGGCAAAGCAGGAGTAACTTTGATTACTGGAAATGCTCTGCGTGCTTTTCACAGGCAGACACTCACTACCTGTGAATTCACCTGACACTTATTTGTTCTAATCTCACACTGGTACAAATTGCTGACATCACAAAGACTCTGCTCAAGCGCTGGCAGGTTACAGACCGGCTGATGACCGATCTAACTGCATTCTCACATCACTTGTGTCAGTGTTCAAGGCTGGCAGGCATGTGTGAAAACAGCTTAAGAAAAATGTTTAGGCTGAATAAGATAAGATTTCCCAAAAAACAAAAAAATAACATAATAGTTTAAATAAATAAGAATGGCCCATAAAGTAAAACGATATAAGGTAAAAATTAACAATGTACACAAAAAAAAAATTAACACAAAGGAAAAAATATAATAAAATTTAAGATCTTAAAAATGACTAAAACAAATCAGATGTGATCAAATGATCAGTTAGTAAAAGTCTAATTGATACAGGTGACAAATTTTTCTTTTATTACAGAAGAAGCTTTATTGGCTTTTAATAAATGACCAAAATTATAAAGCAGATATTTCTTTTGTACTCAGAGGTCATCCCATTCAAAAACAATCTCACACCTAACGTCCATACGGGAAGAAGCCGTTTTTGAACAGTTCAGCTCCTGTTAGCTTCATCATTTCAATGAAAAATCAAATAAGTCAGCATGTATTATTATCATTAACCATTTGATGTCAATACATTTGAAATCTTTTATTTTCTGTGCACACGTAGGACTTACAGAATCTGTCGGTCTCTGAGGAACAGCAGGAGGGGGTTTCTCAGGTCTCTGTGGTTCATTTCTTTTTATCTGAAAATATGTTTATAATATATTTACAGCATGTGATTATTTTAAACACCAGCTTAATTATTTATTTATGTGTTTATCACTCTACCTCTGTGGGCTTCGGAGGAGGTTTGGGCTATAAATGGAGAAGAGAGAGAAAAAAAGAGAAGCTGTTAGCTATGCTAAGTACTGTTTGGGCTTTGGGCGTTTAAAGGTTTAGCTTGTAATCTATTAGGCAAATATTAACAAGATGTGCGATTAGTCTCTAATATTCTCTGCAGCAGCTCAGACATACAGCATACATAAATAACAATTTGCAGCCATAACAAGAACAAGATATTGTGCAGCTTTTTGTGATGAAGTCAGTCCAGGATTAGAAGACACAGTAAACACTAAGATGACCTGAAAACACAGACAAAATAACTCCTCCAGCATCGTTCCTGCAAAGTGCTTGAAAGATTCTACAGAAAAACTTGTTCAGTGTAAAATGCAGCTTGTACACTGACTAATTTGTGCAAGTACTCTCAATTTACTTCAACACTTAAAACATCTGCACTGCAGGCTGTATATACATTTACAGCACCGTATGGGTGATGTGTTGGGGTTGTGCATTGCTTGTGTTTGTTCTGTGTTAACTGTAAATGTTCTCACCGACTTTGGTTTCTTCTTGACTTCTGGTTTCATCATACACACCTCCATCCTGCCTGCAGAGAGAGATAAAGGGTTTAACTTCTTTGTGATGGCAGCATCACCATTTGTATGCCAACGGGAGCAGCAGCAGCAGTAAGAGACCACCTTCCACCATTCAGCACAGCAAATATCGACTTGTCCACAGTTTATTGCATTCACTAGTTCATGCATTTATTACTTCCAGGCTGAACTACTGTAATTCATTATTATCAGGATGTCCTAAAAACTCCCTGAAAAGCCTTCAGCTAATCCAAAATGCTGCAGCAAGAGTCCTGACAGGGACTAGAAAGAGAGAGCATATTTCTCCTGTTTTGGCTTCCCTTCATTGGCTTCCTGTTAAATCCAGAATTGAATTCAAAATCCTGCTCCTCACATACAAGGTCTTAAATAATCAGGCCCCATCTTATCTTAATGACCTTGTAGTACCATATCACCCTATCAGAACACTTCGCTCTCACACTGGTGCCTTCCTTGTTGTTCCTAGAGTATTTAAAAGTTGAATGGGAGGGAGAGCCTTCAGTTTTCAGGCCCCTCTTCTGTGGAACCAGCTTCCAGCTTGGATTTGGGAGACAGACACTATCTCTACATTCAAGATTAGGCTTAAAACTTTCCTTTTTGCTAAAGCATATAGTTAGGGCTGGACCAGGTGATCCTGAATCCTCCCTTAGTTATGCTGCAATAGATGTAGGCTGCCGGGGGATTCCCATGATGCATTGAGTTTTTCCTTTCCAGTCACCTTCTCACTCACTATGTGTTAATAGACCTCTCTGCATTGAATCATATCTGTTATTAATCTCTGACTCTCTTCCAGAGCATTTGATTTCAGCTATATATAAATTTTAAATAAACACGAAAAGTAATATTTTCAGCCATATGTACATACTGTTACAGTGGTGCATGCTTCTATTAAACATATTTATTTCAAATGATGAGGTCAGCATATGTAGAATCCTCTGAATCAAAAGCTCAGGCTTAAGACTGTTCTCAGTGCTCAATATTAGATAGTGTTTTTTAAAAAATAATATGGCCGTGTTAGCTCTGGCTGTGTGAACAGAAGCCACCCACCTGCTGTTCAAACCTTATGACCATGAAGGGCAGCCAATCAGAAGAAAGAAAGCTCAAAAGGAGAGGAGCTTAAAGAGCTCGTTTCAGATACAGGATGAACCGAGGGTCTGCACCAAGGCTAAAGTAAAGTAAGGCTAAACTGTGAATCACGCAAAGCTACTCTAAAAGGGTTCAAACTAAAAAAAAAAATTAACGGTTCATTGAACGCCCGCTCCCCATTTCCTATTGCAGCTTTTAAGTTTAACTTTTCGAGGGTTGACTCACAAACATTTGCTCTTACTGTTTAGTTTTTAGTTGCTCCAGGCGTTGCGATTAAGGAATTAATCACAAATATTCTGACTGAATTGTTTTCACGCTACCAATTACAAATACAACCATGCAATTTATACTCACAGTGCTTCTCAAAACTGAAGAAATGTATTTGAGTCAATAATAAACCGTAAGCTTACAGGACCTGACCAACTACAGTGTCAACACTGGAAACCAAAAATAACGCAGGTTAGCTTCCACTGTGCGTATATTTAACTGTAAATGATAAACAAGAAGCTTGTACACAGACAGAAAGTCCCGTCGATGTCTCACTGAGCAGTTTCACCTACCGGAGGTTTGAAGACGCCGCAGACACTCGTGGACATCTAATTTGTAATAAACAAAATCAGTGCGGAGCAAACCGACGACTCCTTCACGGTCAGGGCATTCTCAGGAGTTTTTAAAAGTTCTCCAAATCCGCACATCTGCACACTGGTGCGTTCAGGAGTTCCGCGAAAAGCTGCGAAATCACATCTTCGAGTGGAACGCAGCGGTTTTATTTTGTTTTTGTAATTTTAAGTACAATTCTGAACTGAAATGAACTTTACTTATCCTTACCAGAATGAAAAACAACATGAAAAAGATCTAGCTGCTTCATTTTCCAGTGAGATGTAGCACGTACAGGCAACTACTGACAGACTAATACAGTGGATTAGACAAATAAGACACCTTGTAAGCAAACTTTTTCTAGATTGCCCCACTGTAGAAGCCCCATTTACTTTATTTCATTTTATTTTATGTAAAGAACTTTTTTTTTATAATTTTTAGATTATTATTCTTTTGTTTATCAAAAAAAGAATAAAACTGATATCATGTAAAAACATATATGCCTACTGCTGAGCACAAAACAGAACAAAGCAAAAAAAATCTAATTCTTTGTCTTGTTTACTTCATTCATTAAACAGGTTACTGTATTTTACAGCTACTTTAACATTTATTTTGCCATGTTTGTCTATTTTACTTTACTGTCTATGTGTGTTATAACATAAAAAGTGTTACAAAACTCTCCTTGATTTCAACAATCTTTGTAATATAATGCTTTATGACTCAAGCATAACACTCTACTTTCACTAAAACTACATTTTTGTTAATGAATTCAAATAAACATCTGTAATTTGGAAACTTGTTCAAAAGATAACATGCTGTTTTTTTGTAAAACTGTACATTTGAAAACTCATGGTCAAAAATAATAAGAATTATGTTTTAGCATTAAAATGAAATTTGGATTTGAGAGCTTGTCCATAGTGGTTCGTTAACTATTGCAAAAACACCAGAAAGCTGATTCTGCTCATCTGCACGTGGAATTTTCAGAATCATCCAAGTAAGGAACTGATTAAGCATAAAAAATATTTTGGTAATTGCCAATGCTGTTAATGTAGTGCAGGTAAACCTTACACTAGGTGTTATTCTAATAAATTTGTTAAGCTATATATATATATATATATATATATATATATATATATATATATATATATATATATATATATATATATATATATATATATAACACAATATATATGTGTTACATATATATTGTATTTGATATATAAATTAAATATAAAAATTCCCCGCTCACCCCTGTGGGCAGTCTTTATCCTTCAAGCTCAGGTCCCCTACCAGAGGCCTGTGAGTTTGAGGGTCCTGTGCAGTATGTTAGCTGTTCCTAAAACTGCGCTATTCTGGACAGAGATCTCAGATGTTGTTCCCGGGATCTGCTGGAGCCACTCCACCTAGCTTGAGAGTCACCACCTAGTGCTCTGATTACCACTGGGACCACTGTTACCTTCACCCGCCACATCTTCTTGAGCTCTTCTCTGAGCCCTTGGTATTTCTCAAGCTTTTCGTGTTCCTTCTTCCTGTTGCTGCTGTCATTCAGTATCGCTAGGTCTATCACTACTGCAGTCTTCCCCTGCTTGTCCACCACTTACTATGTGCAGTTGGTTAGCCATCACCATTTTGTCCGTCTATATCTGGAAGTCCCACAGGATCTTGCTCGGGCATCTCCCATTTTGACCTCGGGACTTTCAGGTCATACTCCGCACACATTTTTCTGTATTCTGTACCTGGTTATGGCGTTCCATCTATGTCCTGCCTGCGGGCATCTTGCACCCTGCTGTTATGTGCTGGATAGTCTGACAGACATCTTTACACAGCCTGCACCTTGGGTCTTGCCTGGTGCGGTGGATCTAGCCTCAGCTTGTGCTGAGTATGTGCTCATGCATGCTATCTGCCTGTCTCATTCAGTAAGCCCAAGTATTTCGACACCACCCAAAGATAAGATTGTTCGCTGATTGAGAAAAATTTATATATATATAAAACACCCAGCACGCCCCTGCGGGCGGTTTTATCCTTCAAGCTCGGGTCCTCTACCAGAGGCCTGGGAGCTTGAGGGTCCTGCGCAGTATCTTAGCTGTTCCCAGGACTGCGCTCTTCTGGACAGAGATCTCCGATGTTGTTCCCGGGATCTGCTGGAGCCAGCCAGGCCATCCATCCATCCATCCATCCATCCATACATTCATTCATACATACATCCATACAATAGACTGGTGACCTGTCCAGGGTGTACCCTGGCTCTCACCCGATGGTAGCTGGGATAGGCTCCATCCCTCCCGTGACCCTGACAAGGATAAGCGGAAGAGAATGGATGGACAAACCAAAAGCAGCTTCTGTGCTTTAAATCCTCACAGGAAAATAAAACGTTATTCAATCTGGGGAGTTCTTGCAGTCAGTAAATATTTATGAAGTAACTGTTCCTGTATTTCACCTGGTTTTCCCTGTTGTAGATGATGCAATTTCTTTGTCTCCTTTCTGGTTTCAGTGATGTAAAGTCACCTGGAAAGGGGCGTGTTCAGTTAGAGGGTTACCTACCTCTGTGGGAGCCTTGGTCAGTTTCATATGACGTCACTGAAGTCATGTAAGTATTTGAAATCCTAAACGAGATGCAAATTAGAAAATAGTAAAAATCATTGTTCGTGGAAAAACAAACACTGATACATTAAGAGAGACAATAATAACAATAAACAGTGGAAATTCATTGGCTGCAGCCTTTGTCCTTTTAGATCATTTAATTCAATTAAAGGTAACTTTCTAGATTTAAAACAGCCACCAGAAAATATGTTTTGGAAGTAATTAAAAGTCAATAATTAGTTTTTAAAAAATCCAGTAAAGACTTGACACAGGACCTAAGGGATGGATTTATCTGCTCTCTCTCTCTCTGTGTGTGTGTGTGTGTGTGTTTTGCAGCCATGACAAATCTGTGATTAATTACAAAAAACATAAACATCAAGTAACAATTTATTTGAAGGTAACAGAATAATCATTGCCATTGTTGACAGACTGGCGACCTGTCCAGAGTGTACCCTGCCTCTCACCCAAGACAGCTGGGATAGGCTCCAGCGCCCCCACGACCCTAGAAAGGATAAGCGGAAGCAAATGGATGGATGGACATATATTGAACAGAATATTGCACAAAGAAGGCATCACTAAACGATCAACTTCACCCAGCACAGAAAATATACATTTATTTAACGGTTATAAAACAGCCCACAGAGCTTTTACCATCAGAGCTTCCAGTGCAGACAGCTAATTAACCCTCAACCCTGAAATAATAAAGATAATAAAAACGAATCTTCTCCGGAAAAAGCAACTCAGACTTTGGTTTTTACCCTCATTTTTGTTTTACTCCTGGACAAAATGAAATCATCTGAGAGGAAACATGACTACAAACCAATTAGTTTAATTCAGATTAGTCCTTTTCTGATACTGTTTAAGTGGACAACTGTTAATAAGTTCAAACTTAGCTTGGTTAAAACCTTGAAGTTTACTGACAACCAAATAAAATTACCTGCTAATTAACTATCTAAACTATGTTAATGTTAATATAGTTTTGCATGAAAACATGATTTGAAATATATTATTTACCAATTATGTATACTGGGAAGGAAAACAAAATACCGGTACAACAACAACAAAAAGCTAAATAGAAAATTAAAATAAAAGTATTCCATCAGTGCTAAACTCCATAATACCAACTGAAGGAAATGCATTTCTTAATATATGTATACCGTATTTTTTGGACCATAAGGCAGAGCGGATTATAAGGCGCATTAAGCAAACAAAACAGTCAGATAAGTCAAACTTTACTCAACTCATTCTTCTTGCTTCCTCCACTTCCCTACTATTGATTCATTAATGTTGAATTCTCTTGCAGATGCTCTATTCCCATGTTGTACTGCGTGACTGGTAGCCTTGAGTTTGAAATCCTTATACACACACACAATACGGCAATATTATGTTGAAGCACAGTACGTATCACTCCGCGAGGCTCCTGACTACGGTAGCCATAATGCTCCGACAATCCATCAAGCGGTGGGGCTTTGTAGCTTAGCAAAGTCGTACCAAAACATTTCTTGACACATTTTTGAGCGTCGTGTACCACATAAATTCGGTTCGAGATCAGTAAGATCAACCAGAATTCATACATAAGGCGCACCAGATTATAAGGCGCATTTTTGAGAAAATTAAAGGATTTTAAGTGCGCCTTATAGTCCGAAAAATACGGTAACTGCAACACATTTGCAAAAGGCAGTTAACATAACACCACAACCTCTAAAATTGTTCTCTTTGGAAGTCATGTTATAGATTGTAAGTCCCTGTGTACACGCTCAGTAGCTTCTAGCTCTACAGAGGTTCGACTGTTTTAAAACACTGCGAGCAGCTAAGTCATTCCTGAAGGTAAATGGGGCAGCCATTTTTTATGGAATGACCCACTAGATGGAAACAAGCTATAAACTTAAGCAAAGTCCAAACTAGGGTTTCCAAACAGCTGCTGCAGCAGTACAAAATCCAGTTACCTTTTTTTAAATTTGCTCTTTTCATTAAAATATACAAAACTAATCAGCCATTCTTGATGTTATCTGAAACACACCAATATCATCAAGGCAAATGCATCTTTAAAGAAGTCGGATCCTTTATTTCAGGTTTAGATATTTAACTTAATATTTTAACCTTTAAGGGCTCCTTTTGGACAATTAAAATACGCCTGATTGCAATTTTACTTAAAAAAAAATCTGGCACCAACCACCTCATAGATAGTAAAATACAAAACATTTGCTTGTCTTTTGGGAATCTGACTGAGTTTTCCTTTAACCCTTAACTCGGAAGCAAAGCTGAAAGAACTTCCTAGTTATGTGTCAAACATATTCTCTGTTCTCAAGGTCCTTTTTGATGGCTTTTTTAATGCGGTCGATTTCATCTTCGTCTGAGCTGTCATTGTCCTTCTTTTCACTGTTCAAATCTTTTCCATCCTTCTCCTTCTTTTCTTTGTTGTCTTTCTCTTTTTTTTCACTGTCCAGATCTTTGGTGGTCTTCTCAGAGTCTTTTTCTGGTGAGTTGAACTGCAGCTCTTGATGTATTGAGTTCAGCTCCACCAGACCATCGTGCAGCTGTTGCGCCACCTCCCTGATTTTGGCAGCAAACTCTGATTTTGCCCCTTTCTTGAGTTCTTTTGAGTCTTTGGACACAAAGTAGATATCCATAACTACAAAGAGTCCAGTAAGCACACCGGTTGCCATACTAGCAATCTGGACTGCTCTGGCTGCGGTGCTACCTGCTACATGGGCAAACTGGACAAAACGCATGATCTCATTGGCATTGACGAGGATCGCCTTTCCTGCCATGGCGCCATCTTCATAGAATTTGCTAGTAAGTGAAGGAAAGTCCTGATTGTATGCGCTATTCTTCATCTTGATCAGATCGAACCTGCGCAGGTTCTCAATACCCTGTTTGATGAATGTCAGGCACTTGTTGATGTCTTCCATCTTCTCCTGGTAGTCCTGCACGATCTTCTCCACCTTCTTACGGTCCATGGTGTTGTTGACCTGGTTGGAGATGCCAGCACCTGCTGATGTCAGACCGCCTGCCGCAGCAATGCCCAGTCCCACTGCAGTCACAATCAAGGAAGTTCCCATGGTGAAGGGAGCCAGGGCGAGGCCAGCAACAGTGGCGACGCCCCCAACGGCGCTGGTGGAGCCGCCTGTGATTTGAGCGATCTTTGTGTTCTTGCTGAACTTGTCGAGCCCATCAGCGATGCCGTTGAGGTCGATGACATGCTGCCAGAGGCTCTCTGCCCGGTCCGTGAACAGTTTGTTGAAGACTCTGATGCCCTTCTGCAGCTTCTCAGCGGTCAAAGCAAAGGCCCTGAGAAAAGAAATTTGAGTCCTATTATACATTTTATAAGTAACTCCATCAAAAAGGCCATTTTGTCTCATTTACACCAACAGAATAAGTGTTAATTAACCAAAATATATATTTGATATTTATTTAACTAGTGATTTTGAGGAAAGCAGAATATCTTGTTTCTCAAAGCATGACAAAACAAACCTTTTTTTAAAGATTATTCACACCACTGTTTTCATTGGAATTGATTATTGATTATCCTTCCTCAGGAGAAAAGTTAAGTGTTGTTGTTTCGGGGTATGAGCTTCTTCAGTTCTCCATGGTGGATGTTTATGATGCAGATATATTATAAATTTTGTGTTGTCCAACGGTGGGCATAGCAATATTTGAGCAGCTCCAGAATAACCTTTTACATTTTATTCACATCACAATATGATAACAATATGGCAACAAAGGAAGATACCAAAGCAATATTTTATATTCAATTCTTGAATCTTAGCCATCAGAGCAGACTAAACCTTCTGGCAAAGATAGCAGGCGACAAGGAATTAGCAGCCTCGATTTAATGGTTAATAAGGAAATCAACATAAAATGCTACCATCTTCTTAAGAGACACAGCAAAGACATTTTAATGTGCTGCCTCCCTAAATTGATGCATTTATTATATTATATTGTAAAAATAAGTATAGCAGAACGGACCCCTGAAAGACCAAAAACAGCATTTAATGAAACATAAACACCTATATTAAAGCATATTAAAGCTTACTTGGCCTCTTCTTTTTCTGTCATGTCTTTATGTTGAGGTGGGTCTTTCCATTCTGAAAAAAAAAATGACAAAAGAATGATTTATCATCGTTTTGTGCATCTTAGCAGCCCAAAAGTATGTAAATGCAAAACTATTACACTCATGCATGATATTAATCTGCTGCGATAACAGCATCAACTCTTAAAAAAAAAAAAAAAAAAAGGCCTTCTACCTGATTTTAACATCTGGCTGAAAGAATTTGGTTCCATTTCACCACAAGAACATGAGTGAAGTTAGTTTCTAATGCTGAGGGATAAGAATTACTTAAAAAAAAACCAAAAAAAAAAAACCCCATTTCATTTTCAACTTACGCTCCACAGTTTCCCACCATTCCATAAGATCCACATCCTGAAAGACATCATTAGGTTCCATGTTTGTTATTTTTGCTTTCCAAATAATGACTGAAGACTGCATTAAAATGTCAAAAACCTACATTACTATGTTCAGCTGAGGCAGTGCCAATACGGTAGTCCTCTAGCTGGTCAAACACAGACCTGTTCGCACCTTCACTCTGAGATGAAAGAAATAGTAAATAATAAAATTACATATCAAAACCACCATTTTAATCATAATTACTTCAACAAAAGATTGTGTCTGCAGTGAAACTGAAAAAAAAAAAATACACAGTACTTGAGCATGAATGACATTATCATGCAACACATTTGGTCAGTTTCATTTTTTACATGGCTGTTGCGCATCTAAAGAGGAGGAAGTTTTGGTGAAAGGGATTCTGGGAATAGTGACTTATTTCTGCTGTTTTTGCAGAAGTTAAAGGACTCAACAGGGGAAAAAGGAAGCAGAGAAAGACGTCTGGGCATATTGTAGCATAATCTCGTCTCATCATCCATGGCATAGACATGCACAAACACTGTGCGGCTGTTGTGTGTGGGTTTCATGTCAGCACTGGAAAGGGGAAAAACATGTAGACCACAACTGAGTCTGTTGGAAGGTGAGCAAACACTCTAGAGACAAGTTCTGCAAAGACTGTAAGTCTTTGTTTTCAGAGTGGAAGGAGGCATTAGGTGACAAAAACAGGCTTTTTGTAATGGTAATTTGTAAGTCCTGAACAACAGTGGTTAAACCAGCAAAATGTGGGCAAATACAGTGAGACTGAGATAAAAAAACAAAAGAGGTTAAAAAGTTACTTTTGGTTTTAAAGTTTGATGTGCGAGGGGTGAGAGGGAGAAGGAAAGAAAAGAAAGAAAGTTTCTTGATATATTATTTTGATTATATTGTCTACCTCTGCTTGGGCTGTTTCTTGTGCACGTCTCTGTATCACTTTGGCCTGAAATAAACAAACACAGACACACAGTTCAATCGTTTGTAATACCAACACAGAACTTATCTGAATGTTTTATGATCTTAGACATAAAATAAATAAATAATTTAAATAAGTAATTTTTCTTCAAGGAAAAAAAATAGCTGAAGAAGGAAAAAAAACATACAATTTCTTCCTTTTCACTTTCTTTGGTATTCAGGTTTAAGACTGGGTCAGTGAATTGCTCAAAAAGGCAGGCCATGTAATTCATTTATGTAAGCTTACCTGCCAAAACAACACAGAAATACTGCTTTGCTTAAGAACCACAGAGAAATTTGGAGCTAGTTTGTTTATTCATTTCTAAAATAAATAAATAAACAAATTCTGTTTGTGTAACAGTATATCAGAAGGTCTTTTTACCACCTTAATCAAAATTCTTTATGAGCTCAAACAGAGTTCAGTGCTCAAGATTTTAAGGGAGAAGCAATTTTGGAGACATCGTAGTTAGAGCCAAGTTACACTGTTCTATTTCGGTCTTTGGGTAATTTTTATGCCATTCAAAGCTCATGCAAGATTGAAAGCTTGGGGGAAGCTTCACCATTTGTTAATAGCAGAGGTCACTGGGGTAGTTGAAAAGCTCCCTGATCGGCCACCAGATACAGGCTCTGGACCAGGCATCTCCAACTCCAATCCTACTGGAGTAGCCCAGCTATTGTCCTGCAGCTTTCAGATGTATCCCTACTCCAACACGGTTGAAAATGGTCGCATTACCTCTTCAGCATGCCATCAAGTTTGGCAATAGCCTGGTAACAAGCCATTCATTTGATTCAGGTTTATTGGAACAAGGATGCATCTAAAAGCTGCAGGACAGTAGCTCTCCAGGACTGGAGTTGGAGACCCCTGCTCTGGACAATGTAGGGCTGTCTTGGTTGACATGCTTCTTTAATTTTGTGTCACAGTGCTGTTGTGGTTTTCAAAAAGGGGTTTGGAGGGTATGGTCTATTTATTGGGGTATCACACTGTTCATCCACCATAGAACAGTTGATGTCAGAATGCTACACAGGCTAACTGCCAAACCTTGGATTTAGGAGGAGGAATGCTTATTCTGTCCTGGACATGGAACAGTAGACCAGATCTTTACTATCGGACAACTTCTAGAGGGATTGTGGGAGTTTGACTTAGAGTCTATATGTGCTTTGTAGACCTGGAGAAAGTTTATGGCTGGGTTCGTCTCGGGAACCTGTGGAATTCTTGGCAGTATATGGTTTCAGGTCTGTTGTTACAGCCATTTAGATCTTTGGGAGAGCTGAGAACAGTCAGTCCCTGGCACAAAGTCAAGCATATTTTCAGCCATCTTGATGCATGCTCAATTATCTATTTAAGTAAATCTCAAAAGGTAGCTCTTTCAGTGGGAGAAACGTTTCGTTACTCATCCAAGTGACTTCTTCAGTCTCAACTGACTGCAGGTTTCCCCAACCTTATAAACAGTACATTTGCACAATGACTGCAACTAGCCCACTGAATGAACAATGGGCTGTGAGGACAGTTCCTTGATCATTAATATGCAAATTGTCATGACCATTGATCAACAACCACCAATCAAAGACCATTGATCATTGATCAAAGACCATTGAGCAATGGCCATGAGTATCATTCACAGAGAGTTGGGGAATGGCTGCAATCACAGCAACCACTGGAGCACAAACTTGGTGTCATAAAATAAAAGGAAATTATAAATTGTAAGAAGTGTGCAAAAGGAAAAACCAGAGTGCGTGTGAAGATGAGATGTGTGTGAAAGAGTTCAGTCCTACACCTGGTTCGGTACCCGAATAGCCTGGGAGAAGAAGCTCCTGCTCATTCTCTCTGTTTTGGCCTTAAAGGAGCGGAAGCGCTTCCCAGAACTCAACAGTGAGCAGAGTCCATTGTTGGGATGGGAGAGGTCCATCAAAATCTTCCTGGCTTTGGTCTTGCACGGCTTGGTGTAGATGGACAGCAGGTCAGGAAGCTCTGATCGAATGATGCGTTTGGCCGAATGCACCATTCATTGCAGATCTCGTCTGTCCTGCTTGGTGCTGTTCCTAAACCAGGTGCAGATGTTTCCCGTCAGGACGCTCTCAATGGTGCAGGATTAATAGGTTTTAAGCACCCTCAGTGGCAGATGGAAGTCTCTAAGTCTTGTGAGGAAGAAGAGACGCTGGCGGGCTTTCTTAACCAAGGTGTTAATGTGACAGGACCAGTGATGGGAATAACGGCGTTACAAGTAATGGCGTTACTTTTTTCAGTAACGCGTAATCTAACTAATTACTATTCCTATCGTCCACCTAAGTGGACACGTAAAAAACTCTTTGAAAAGTACATGTTTAAAAAAATGAAGTTCGAAAATCTTTTCTCATGCCTAAAGATGAATAAAAATACTTAAGAAAAAAATCCTGATTGAGGTTGTCATACTTCATGCATGACAGGGTTAAACACCAAAACATGCTGCGCCAAAAAGTGATCCACCCCAAAGATTGCGTCCCTCAACACAGAGCAATATAGTATTCGCTGTTAAGTGCCAGGAGGATTGCCATTCTGATCATTAGACTTCTCTAATGATAATTAGCACAGAATAAATGGGTGGATACGCGTTTCGTAAAAGTGGCATGTAGCATGATGTCAGGTTGGATCTGTCTGCTCAAATTTTGGTTTCTCCAGCTCAGTGTCAGCTCCACAAAAGGTACAGAGCCATTCTCGTGATGACCCCGCCCCCCCAAAAAAAGAAAATCCAACAAAAACTGACTGATTATTTTTATGAGAATGTCGGGGAAAGCTTCGGTTGTGTTGTGTAAACCAAAATGGAAGAGAACGGTTTGTACATGTTGCATGTTTGAATGTTACCTTTACATCAGGCATGAACGGGTTGTGCCTCTTTTTTTTCTTGACGTTGGTCTAAAAGAAAAAAATAAAATAAAAACATAAAAAGATCTCAGAATTATTGTAAAGGTCAAACACTGAAATACTCCTGCAGTAAAATGAATAAATGTTTGTGCCAACTTAAAAAAAAGTTGTTCATGAACAGAAGGAATGTAGCTTAACGACCTCCATTTTTTCCTTAACCTCTTCTTTATTCTTTTCCTCCTTGGATGCAGATTCCTCATCTGCATTCAGCCCCACATCATCCGATGCAGCCTGAAGTAAATAAGAAAAACAAAACAATAAAAAGGTCAACATGAGCATGAAATAATAATCAACACGTCCTGGTTTTTGTTAGTCACAACCCCAGACCTTTCTATTTCTCCACTGATGAGTATAGATATAAAAATAGATATGTGCCATGTGTTTCTTTGTTTTCTTGTCTTTAGTCTAAAAAGAAAACACAAATAAAAAGGTCAAATCATTTTATCCTATAAAAAAATAATCTATCCAAACTATCAAGCAGTTTGGATATATGCAAATAAAGTATAATATCTGAATAAAGTCATGACTCCTGAGTTGGAAACTTAAAGTGCATCTTTTTAGAGGTCCCCCCCACCAAGGCTTAAAATAAAGGAGGGGCTGAGAGGTGCCTCCAGGGTTTTTTGTCCCAACACTATAGCCCCTTTTCCATTAGTACCTACTGGGTTCGACTCTGACTGGTTTTCCATTACAACCCAGTAGCGCCTTAGCTGTGTCTCAATTACTAGGCCGCATCCATCAGAGGCTGCAACTGAAGGCCATTTATGTTACAGCGACGTAATGAAGGCTGTCCCAATTCAAAGGCTGCTCCAAATGCGGCTGTGTCCTTCATTTCCCCGGATTTGAAGGATGGGTCTGTAGTATCCTTCGTGGCCCAACCTATCCCAGAATTCATAGCGCGGCCCAGCCAATTCCAGTTTCCAACAATGGCAGCAGCTACTTTGTTTTAATATTACTCTACTCCAGCCCACGTAGACCACAAATGTCGGGTCCTTCGAAGGATGCGGCCTAGGAATTGGGACACAGTTCTTGTTTGCCTGCTTGTTGTCATAGCAACGCGTCTGCGCATGCTGTTGTTTTTCTTACTCATTTTATGTATTTTCAAATGTTTCAATATTGCTACTGTTGTAAATTCTGCCACAGGCGACTTTGTTTTAGGTGGAAAGGTGAAAAAGTAATTAAGTTGCTTTTATTAAATTTGATAAATGATTGACATGACACATCTGGTATAACATGAGCAGGCAATGAAACAGTATTAGTATGAGCATACGACAAGGTAGTGAAGGGGTTAAAACATGAAGACATGAAACACCCGATAAGAAGGAAGCAAGAACTTGAAAAGTTAGGATTAGCCACCACAAATAATTCAGGTTTGTTTTCATCGGCTCTTTTATACCACACAGTATAAAAACAAAAAACAACAACAACCACAGGCTCACGGAAGTCATTCTATTGAGATCGGTCCATCTATATAGATATGTATTATTTTGAAAACCCAAAAAACTGGCATATGCAGAGGGTCTAGTCTGACCCACAATGATGACAAGACAAACGTAACATTTTGCCCTTCGGAGGGTTCTTCTCATCATCGCCATCTTTGGCTACAGCAGATTCATCTCCTTTTACACCTTCTTTACCTGATGGTCTCTGCCGCAAATTAAACTAATCAGTTAATTGCAATGGTTTTTTTGTATTGTGCAGGAACGTACTGAAGTAGCAGATAATGATATTATGAATCAGGTTAGGCAAACATTTGATCAGTTATATCTGATCCCACAGGTTTGCTCACAGGCTAAAATGAAATGTAAGGAGAAACTTCAATTCTTCACAAGAATAAAGACGTCCGTCCATCCATCCATCCATTTTCTTCCGCTTATCCAGGAGAGAAGAATAAAGACATTTCTGACTAATTTCATCTAAGTTTTTCATATTTTTTTGTAGCGGCGGTCAGAAAGAACCAGCCGTCATAGTCAACTTCTGATAATCAATACTTGTCTAAAATAACATTAAACCCTTTTTTAGAGTCTAATCGTTGTACTGTATGAAAATGTTAATACCTGTTGGTTGTTCTGTTCTTGTCGACTGTGTCCAATTATTCTGTTCAGCTCCTGAAATTAAACCACAACAGTTTTCTAAACGATAAGGGTTTAAAGTAGTGCTTTAATACACATCATCACAGACAAACTATTCCCTAAACTCAGGGAGCTCACCTCTTCTGATGGTCGGGCAGGAACTGCAGGAGGCTTAGCAGGTTTTTCTTTCTTCTCTCTGGAGGTCATGTCTTTGCCTTCCTGTACAGGACAAAAATAAAATACTTGTTCCAAAGCTGAAACTGAATGTGAAACAGTCAGTTAATGCCAAGTACTGGCTTTCTATTTATACAAAGCAGTGCATTTTAAACATTTTGATTCTTTTAAAGCCACTCAAATGATCTAATCTGTATTCTAACAGCTTCCCTCAAATATAATAAAACTCTGGGCAATTAAAGCAAAACCTGAGAAATGCAAACCATACGTTGTTATCCTCACTTCTTGGTTTTACTTTGTCATGTGACGACGTCCCCTTCACCTCCTGCTCAACGAAATCACATCAACAAAGAGAGCAGAAGTTAGAATATTCCAACAAAGACCACACGTCACAAAAAGAGGCAGCGGTGTTTGACTGCATGTGAACCTCCTGAGTTGGTCTGGATGGGACCAAGATAGCTGCACTCCTTTCCCTTCTTTCGTACTGGTTCATGTTACTTTTGACCTCACAAGGGCGCACATACACACACAAACCCAAAAACAAACGCAGTGTAACTGAAGGCACTAGCGCATGACGACAGGGAGGTTTGATAAGAGGAAGTCATGCAGAGAGGAGAAGGAGGAAGTGGTGAAAGGTATGGAATAAGAAGTGTGAGTATTTTTGACTGCATGTATGTGGGTGGGTAATTTGAAGACTCACAGTGACGCATTAAATAGACTTACTGGTTTTGATTTTTCTCCCACTTCTTTTTCATTCTCCTTGAGTGTTTCTGCATCTTCTGTGTCTTTCTGAACAAAAGGAAAATAAATATTGGGCTTGTGAATATAAAAATGAGGTGGCACTTTCATGAAATTAGGGAACCAAACGGAAAAAATACACCCCACACCAGCACTTTATGTAGTCTGCAAAATCTGTGGGATAAATAGTACCATCTACACCACTGCCACCATCCCTAATGTGTGCAAAACATCGTTACTGCTAAAAAATGAACAATCACCACCATCACCAAAAAACAGCCACGATTACAAGTGCCTCAGTAACACCTTGACCAACAGCAAACATATTTAGCAGTGTAGTTACTTTTTGGCGGAAAGATATCAGTTTGGACATGGCTCCAACCACGGCATTCTGGGAGGGAGAAAACATCAGGAGAATATTGAAGCTTAAAGTTAATAAAGCTTTTATTCGTGTGGTGTCCGAGTCTATATTTACAGTGGCTTGCAAAAGTATTCGGCCCCCTTGAACTTTCCCACATTTTGTCACATTACAGCCACAAACATGAACCTCTGCCCCAGTCTCAAGTCTTTTGCAGACTCCAAGAGGTTTTCTTCCAAGATTGCCCTGTATTTGGCTCCATCCATCTTCCCATCAACTCTGACCAGCTTCCCTGCTGAAGAGAAGCAGCCCCAGAGCATGATGCTGCCACCACCATATTTGACAGTGGGGTTGGTGTGTTCAGAGTGATGTGCAGTGTTAGTTTTCTGCCACACATAGCGTTTTGCATTTTGGCCAAAAAGTTCCATTTTGGTCTCATCTGACCAGAGCACCTTCTTCACGTTTGCTGTGTCCCCCACATGGCTTGTGGCAAACTGCAAACGGGACTTCTTATGGTTTTCTGTTAACAATGGCTTTCTTCTTGCCACTCTTCCATAAAGGCCAACTTTGTGCAGCACACCACTAATAGTTGTCCTATGGACAGATTCCCCCACCTGAGCTGTAGATCTCTGCAGCTCGTCCAGAGTCACCATGGGCCTCTTGGCTGCATTTCTGATCAGCGCTCTCCTTGTTCAGCCTGTGAGTTTAGGTGGACGCCCTTGTCTTGGTAGGTTTACAGTTGTGCCATACTCCTTCCATTTCTGAATGTTCACTTGAACAGTGCTCCGTGGGATGTTCAAGGCTTGGGAAATCTTTTTGTAGCCTAAGCCTGCTTTAAATTTCTCAATAACTTTATCTCTGACCTGTCTGGTGTGTTCTTTGGACTTCATGGTGTTGTTGCTCCCAATATTCTCTTGGACAACCTCTGAGGCCGACACATAGCAGCTGTATTTGTACTGACATTAGATTACACACAGGTGCACTCTATTTAGTCATTAGCACTCATGAAGCATGTCTATGGGCAACTGACTGCACTCAGACCAAAGGGGGCTGAATAATTCCACACACCCCACTTTGCAGTTTTTTATTTGTATAAAATGTTTGTAATCATGTATGATTTTCGTTCCACTTCTCACGTGTACACCACTTTGTGTTGGTCTTTCACGTGGAATTCCAATAAAATTGATTCATGTTTGTGGCTGTAATGTGACAAAATGTGGGAAAGTTCAAATACGAATACTTTTGCAAGCCACTGTAGATCTCCAGATTTAAATTCTGTGGAAGCCTTATGGCCACAGCGGGGTGGCATTCCTGGTTTTGTTTTGTCTTAGTCCTTTTTTAAAATGATTTTTTGAGGGGGACTTTTAAGCCTTTGTTGAGACAGGACAGTGGAGAGAAGACAGAGAATAAGTAGAGAGAGGGCAGGGGAAAGACATGTAGTAAATGGCCTCAGGGATGCATCTTAAAGACTTTCAATGGTGGTGAAACTAAACCCAACTTTTAACTGAATGAACAGGAAGCAGCAAGCTTCCTACTAAATAAGACTTCCCCTCAGTGTCTGTCAAACGTAACTTGAATTAAATAAACTGAGAAATGTCAAACAAATGTACTTTAAACAGGGAAAAATATCTATAGCCGTACCTGCTTATGGCCTGATGACTTCTTGTTGCTGACAGTTAAATCTTCTTCTATTGAGCCTGCCTCCTTTTCATTCTGTACAGAACAGACAGAAATCAACGGATGAATGTGGCTGTACAATCCTCAGATTTTTTTCCCCCAAGGGATAATCAAGAGCATCCTTACTTTGTTTGCATATCGAAATGGATTCAGCTTTGTCATTCCCCCAGCCAGTTTATTCTGAATATGAGGTAAAACAGAATTTTAAATGAAGAAGAAGAAGAAGATCCTGCTTCCTGTTCATTCAGTCAAAAGTTGGGTTTAGAAGAAGACCCAAACATTAACACAAACCTGTTTTTGAGTGGGCTGGTTATCTCCATGGTCCACTTTCTTCTCGTCATCGTTGTTGGAGCTTTTCTCCTGTGGATGATGCCAATTTTGATTGAGTTAATGTCACAATACCCCGCTCACTTCGATCTTCTTCTGCTATCCAATTTGCTGTGGCTTCTTTCCACGTCAGCACCATGGGAAGCAGAACTTTTGGCTGCTCTGCTCCCAAGCTGTGGAACTCTCTACCCTCAGATGTAAGAAACATTGGTTCTCTCTCCCAGTTTAAATCTCAACTCAAAACCCATCTGTTCACTGTGAACCCACTGTTTGTTAATTTGATCTTGTTCTTTTGTTTTTATTGTTCTTCATTTTGTCATCTCTATTATGCGTTTTATTCTATTGTTAAGTGTCCTTGGATGTCTTCAATAATCATTTTTAAAATGCTTTTGAGGCATTCGCTCTCTCCGTCCCTCATATATTTTAAGCGACCTCTCACTTGTTTATCACTGCAGAGCGTGCTCTTCATCATTTGACTGAAACCATTATGAGGTAAAACAAAAACAGCTACCATTTAGAGTAAATCATCAAGCCAAACTGTTGTTTTTCTTTCTTCAAAAAAATTAAAACACTGTTATATTCGTGCATCCTCTGATTAAGCACGGGTCATCAATATCATCAATCACTGTGAGGCAAAATCTCCTTTAAAGAGAGCTGAAATTCAGCTTGGTGAAACAACCAACCTCCTTGGTTTTGGGCTTCCCTGTGGCAGAACTGTTCTCCTGTGAGTCTCCTGAGTGGTCAGTCTTTTCCTTATCCTGGTAACATACAAAGTATGTACCGTATATCACAAACCAGAAAGCATAATCACATGTGCATCGCACAGGCAGGTAGAGGACGTGATATGACGTGATATTACTGAAAAAGGAAATAACCTGAGAGGAGGAGGTGAAGGGACTCCTCAAGACCTTTGCAACGCCACCCTGACAGAATTCAGAGCAGTTAAGGTTAGAAACTGATCGTATTTCCTGTATATTGTAACAGTAACCTTATCACTTACTTTTGAAGACTTCTCCACGGCACTGTCATTACCAGCAAGGAGTTCATCATCGACAGACAAATCATCCTTAACAAAAGGGTAATCAAACAAAAAAGTCAGTCAGACAAAAACAGCAGTGTTAACTCCAAAACAACCCAGTATCAAAAAGATTCATTGTTAAAGTCATACAAGCAATGTCCTTACATTTGAGCCCTGCAACAAATCACCAAATCACTTTTGAAAATAAAACAAAAGCGATCAATCTTTTTTTTTTATGCCATACTTTGTGTCTGGCATAAAAAAAGAGCATTTGGGGGTCGACTATATATAGTCTTAAACATGACTTTAGTGACAATTAGTGACACTTGTGTTACCTTATTTACTTTTGATAGCTGACTTTTGTTTGGTTTTGGTTTTTTCAAACAGGGGAAAAAAACAACTTACCTTTGGGTGGTTCTTGTCATTGCTGCCAGAGAGATCATCTGGTGCAGCAGAATCCTCCTGAAGGTCAGAAAAAACATCAACTACAATACTCATAATAGTCCAGAAAATGGACTGTAACATTGTTATTAATCTCTTACCTGAGGGTGTGGGGATTTTTTAAACATACTGCTAAACATCCCACCTGTCTCCTAAAGAAAAAAATCAAATCACATTAAAATTGGTGTTTGGCAAGGATTTGACGCTGTGCGCTACCTTAACAAGAATCACTCGGAAGGATCACAGCGTGGTATGGCTTACGGCCATACCACCCTGAGCACGCCCGATCTCGTCTGATCTCGGAAGCTAAGCAGGGTTGGGCTTGGTTAGTACTTGAATGGGAGACCGCCTGGGAATACCAGGTGCTGTGAGCTTTGGGGTGGCTGTAGCTCAGGAGGTGGAGTAGGTCATCTACTGATCGGAAGGTTGGTGGTTCGATCCCTAGCTCCTCCAGTTTGCATGTCAAGTATCCTTGGGCAAGATACTAACCCCAAGTTCCTCTCTGATGCATCCATCGGAGTGTGAATGTACTTAGAAAGCACTATGTATACAGAAAGTGCTTGTGAGAATTGTGTGATTGGGTGAATGTGGTACTCTGGGAGAGTAGAAAAGCTCTATATAAGAATCAGTCCATTTACCATCACTATTTTTATTTCTAGCTGCTTATAGGGTGAAAGTGAACTTTAAAACTAGTTGCTGCAGATGGAGGAAGCAGCTTTTAAAAAACTCACCTTAGTGTTGCTGTTCACTGGCAGATTGTCGTTGCTGCCTAAGATCTTAACGGTTGTGGACAAATCCTCCTAACAAGAGAAACAAAACCTTTTGACCACTTAATATGTATTTCAACACGGGTGAAACTAAGAGGAGTCAGACCCATTTTGGAGTCCTTTTTTTAAAAAAAAATTAAAATTCTACTTGTCATCCACCTGACTCCTAAAAGTAACAAAAAGAGATGTGCAAAGATACATAAAGAGATGTATAAAAACACCTTTTTTAGTTTTAAATGAATAAAGTAGCAGTTCCTTTGTTTAAACTGGCGCATCAGTCACATGGACAGGGAGGGTTCAGTGCCCCAAACATTTGCCAGCACTTTTTCCAGATAGCTGATGCAGGTTTTTCCCTCTCGTACAAACACACACAACAAAAACCTGTCCACTTAGGCACATTGCTACTGTAGCTCAAAATCACCAATGTATTGTAAGTCACTAATAAAGCACATTTGGATTTTCCAGGGGATGATACTAGAAAAATCACACATAAAGGTTTTAACAGATAACCATTTCATAAATCTCTGAAAAACATGCTTTTGCCCAGTATATTTATCTGTGCTTGAAGTGACATTTATCAGGTCCCCTTTTTTCCTTTGGTGTTTGAAGTTACCATTAAGATTCAATCAAATAAATTCATTCATTCAGTTTGGGTACTTTTTTGTATTATGAAGTGGTAAATGCACTTTTAATAACAAGCGACAGAGGCGGTTAGTTAACTGGAGAAGTAGTCAGTAGGAGGAGGCATTGTCATTCCCTATACTGTTATTTAAATGATAATATTACCATTTTTATTAAGATGTATTTCTTTGTTGCATTTCTTATGTTGTAGAGATTTTGACTAATGCCTTTTGATGTTAGCATGGACCTCTTGTCGATGTTATGTAGTTTTGTTAAGACATAAATGGTAACTTTAAAAGAGAATCTCAAATTGCTGTTTGCTGATTAGACCTACCTTTGCATTGGTGTCCTCAGACAGATTGTCATTACTGGCTGAGATGGCCTTTAGATCCTGAAGCACACAAGAATGCACAGTAAATAACAAATAACATAATAATACACAGTTTAGCCAGTTAGTCATTAGTAGCATTTCCTGCATGAGTGAGTGGAGGACATGTAATAAAAATTGTGTTTAACCTGCGAAGGCCTCCGCACATGTCTTGGTTTGGGAGATAGTTTCCGTAATCCACCCAGCTCACCTGATTTATCCTGAAGAGAAATGTACAGAAAAGAATTTCAAAACATAACACTAGGTAGGAAATCCACAGCGATTACATGAATTTTGTTTTTCTCTGTGAAGTCCAACTAAAACCAAATCATTTATAGGCATTAAATATTTAACAGTCCAGCTTAATGATTGGCTAAAAGCAAATCATAGCAGCAGCTATTTTAATGAACCACATTGCAATTATTTTTAAATAATGTATTTTTTTTTACTCTGTTGCATTGTAGCTTTGAAGATTTTCCCCAGTTACAAGCATTTAGTGGAGTTTTGTAGTTATAGTTTATACATATATAAGATCTGCAGATAGTTAAATAGGGACAGGATTGAAAACTAGCAATTGCTATAAATTCTGCACATCATCATTTCTATGCTTATGTTAAAATACAAGCAAAATTTGAATTAAAAAATATGTATATCACAGAAAGAGAGCAAATTTACCTTTGACTTGCTGGTTAAACTGTCATTGCTGGCAGACAGTTCAGGATTTTGTAATGTCAAGGCAGCCTGCAAAAACAAAAAAAAGGTGTTTTTGGTTATAGGAAACTAAGGAAATTAAAGCCACAAAGGCAGAAAACTGTTATTCCCTGTTATCTTATAAATATTTAAAAACATGACCAACAAAACAAAACAAAACCTGAAGCAAAAGAGGAAACAAACAGGAAAATATTACTTTTATCAATGCATGTGGTACTGATTATCCAAACTTACTGTTAGGGCTTAATCATTTTTTTTTCATCTGTATACAAACTTAAGAACTACTTTTGGTTTAGAGAAAATTCCTGTGGGATAATTTTCATTACTTGTTTGGGACATTCATAACATAAGGTTTTGACTTGACAGGATTTGCATTTGTAGTATAATGTCATGTCTGATCCTCTTTGGCAGATTTTAGGCATTCCTTTAAGCATTCCAGCATAATTACAACCACAAATATATCATTAATTGGAGATACAAGTATGTAAATTATAAAAAAAAAAAGTTGCTTTAAATTTGATTACAAATACATAAATTTGACTGTTTCAAGTTAATTAATTAAAATTAGTTACAGCTAATTGCTGCAATCTGTTGGAAGTCAGTCCTCGATCCAAGCTTTTGAAAAGACAACAAAATTAATAAAATAAACAAAAAAGCATAATAAGGATAATTAAAGCCGCAACATTACCTGTGCAGATGGAAGCAGTTCTTTAGACTTGGAGGATTTTTTGAATATCCCACTGAATAATGAGGCTTTTTGCTGATTGAAAATTAAAAAGAGAGACATTCATTTACTGAAATCCATCTCAAAGAAACATTGCCATTAAAAGATGTAAATCTGCAGTTAAAAAAATGCCTCGCTGATTACAGCTCTGCTCTCAGGACTCAAAACTGAAAAGATTTTAACTAATGCAATTGTTACTAATGCACTTACACATTTTAAAGATCTCACTCCAATCTCATGTTTGAATTCAAAATCTGGAATTGAAGCTGATTTCATGTCTGGACTTGGAAAACATCATGAGTGATTTTTGTATTTACAGCATGTGTACGTACAAGTTAAAAGTGGACCACAATGCTTCTGGCTTCCGACCACTTAAGTGAAGCAAAGTCTTCCTTTGGGCCTCATGGTAAATTTGCCGAGCAGCTCAGACATAATCAGATTGTTTAATATTTATTCCAGTATATTACAGGTGACATGTCAGAGAAAAGTTATTCATTTTCCGTGTTTTGAACTACTTTGTTTAGTACAGAACTTCCTACTGTCCAAGTTGTGCATTACACTAGTAGCACATAAAACCATAAAAGCGTCAAAAATCAAATATACTATAAAGAAGGCTTTGATTTTGAAAGAAAAAAGTAATAATAAACAAAAGAATGAATAATTACTAACAGTTTTTGTTATAAGTTTAATTTATTTTAACTTAAAATCTTTATTAAGTAATTTGTATGTATCTATATCAAATATTATGGACACACATGTGCTAGTATATTAAAGACTAGAATGTGAATGTACTACAACTATATCTCAACCAATCGTGGGAACATGCACAGTCACTGCCCCAACTTGGAGTTTTGAAAAAGTCCGATAAGGAAAATGGGCATTATTTTACACAATAAAACGCTAGAGTCCGAAAACAAATATAGTGCTGGATATGAGCCCAGTGGATCTACTCGAATGTTCTGGCTGAAGAAAACAGCAGGCCTGGAAATATTCTTCTGCGTCACAGGAAAAAAGAAAAAACATGTTTGTTCATTATTGTGAATGTGCTCTTTGTAGATTAGTTGGGGCAAGGTCCTTCTGGGCAAGTCATGCCGTCTTGGTGACACATTCAGGCAGTTATTTATTCCAGAGGGAGGATATTATTCCAAGGTCAGCTGTTGTAAGAAACTCGCTTTATTGGGCATGACGCAGGATCATGTATCATACAAGTGCCACCTTTTGTGATAGTCACCATAGATTTGGACTGCTATTCTTTCAGTTAAACATCACTAGTTTAGTGAATGGTACATACTCACTGGGGTAATGTTAGAGGACATTTAAACCAACGTCTCATAATTGCAGGATCAGGGCAAAGAATTGATTTAGAACAGTATCACGATATCTTGCATGGAGATATGGTATTGACGCAGGGAGACCAAACATCAATATTTTATTAAATATATTAAAATAGTACTCTGTGGATACTACGAACAAGAGGGCTCATTTTGGCTGACAGACAACTGGTTGTATTATGGTCATATTCCCATAGAACAGAAAGGTTGCTGTGTACAAATACGACAATTCACGTGAATTTCTGTTAAATGCAAATTTATGTCCACGTAGCAAGATATGATTTTCAACAAATAGTTTATATCTAAATTATCAGAAACAGATTGTATGCAATTGCCAACTTGACCCTGTTCAGTTGCAGACTGATAGCAGACTACTGCGTCTTGGTGTTGGTGTGCTTAACAATCTCTCATGTAAAAAAGTGAGAAAACTTTTGAATTAAAAAAAAATCATGAGCTTTGAGCAACCTAAGCAGATTTTCTTTTACCATTACTCACTATTTTTAATGAGTTTTATGAGTTTGTCCTAACGGACAAACCTTAAAAGTATGGAAGTTTAACAGTGAAAGGCAGAGTTAACGAGGGACCCGGGGGGTTATTTTCGCCTTCGATCAACCCGAGTAAGTTACAGTCCCTTAAAAATAAACCCTTAAAGTAACCTCGCAGGTGTTACTTTGCGATGAAGAGCCAACGTAAACTCTCCGCACACTTATGCGTCTGTTTGTGGTCGCAGTTTGTGGTAAAGGTCAGTAAAGTGTTGAACATGCTTACCGAGCTGACTTCAGGAAGAAACAAAACAAACGTCAACAAACTAAAGTTGTACTCACAGAGACAGCTCCTCCGTCACACTCCAGGTCCAAATCAAGGTTACCGTACCGCTCCTGTAACAGACAGGTTACATATTTACTGTATCAACGCTATTTTTATAAAGGCGTTCACCATAAAGGGCGAGACGTGTAACGGCCACCGTACCATTAACGTACAATTACAGGGAACTGCTGTCTCCCTTAGGTGAACTTGTCCCGTTTGTTGTCAGAGGTTAACGGATATAAATATAAAAGTCCCGCTCCTCAGAAGGACTTTGTGTCCTCTGCTTGTTGATACTGTCGGTTGTTTTCACTCAGCGAGCTGCGCAGGTCTGGATTACTGGTGTCAAGCCAGCCTCCAATTCGAGACTTGCAGTCAAGCCAGCCTCCAGTTTGTTTTACGTTCCCTGTGTATTCAAAGTATTACGGGAATGGATGTGGAAACCGGATTTCAAAATAAAAGCCAACTTCGAGTGAATTAACAGATATGTTAAGAACATAATAACATATAATTTAGGCTTTTTTTTTTTTTTACAAACTCTAATGTTAGATCTATATGACACAGCCTTGTACCCTAATTGTGCCCTGTCACTATCAAAGCCATCTTATTTTGGATTTCAAAGTAAAAGCCCTGTGAATCTTCATTTTTGAACTACTCTTTCAATGACTTAATAATGCTCTTAAAAGCAAAAGTCGTATTTCCAAATACTATTTGAACTTTATATCAACACTTTCCAACCACAGTCTTTTTACAGTGATACCATATCAATATCAAGTCAGTCTGATTTTGCCTTTCATAGTAATGGCCCTTTGAAATTGTCCATAATTGACTTAATCTTCTAACGATTCAAAATGCTCTAAAATGAAAAATTCTTGTTTCCACAGGGTAATTCCACCTTAGATCAACAGTATACAGCCCCACAGTGATACCATATCAATGTCAAGTCATTCTGATTTTGCCTTCCAAAGTAAAAGCCTTTTCAAATTGTCCACAATTGACCTAACTTTCAGTGATTTCAAAATGCTCTAAAATGGAAAATTCCTGTTTCCACAGGGTAATTCCACCTTAGATCAACAGTATACAGCCCCACAGTGATACCATATCAATATCAAGTCATTCTGATTTTGCTTTCAAAAATAAAAGCATTTTCAAACGGCCCATATCTGACTTGATCCTGGAACAATTTCAAAATGCTCTAAAATGGAAAATTCCTGTTTCCACAGGGTAATTCCACCTTAGATCAACAGTATACAGCCCCACAGTGATACCATATCAATATCAAGTCATTCTGATTATGCCTTCCAAAATAAATGCCCTTTCAAATTGAGCATATATACGACCTACTTTTTTAACGATTTTAAAATGTTCTTAAAAAGAATTTTGCTGTTTCCACAGGATAATTCCACTTTAGGTCAACAGTATACAACCTCACGATGTTACCATATCAATATCAAGTCATTCTGATTATGCCTTCCAAAATAAAAGACTTTTCAAATTGCCAAGATACGACCTACTCTTTTAAAGATTTCAAAATGCTCTAAAAGTGAAAATTGCTGTTTCCACAGGATAATTTCACTTTAGGTCAACAGTATACAACCTCACGATGTTACCACATCAATATCAAGTCATTCTGATTTTGCTTTCAAAAATAAAAGCATTTTCAAAATGCCCATATCTGACTTGATCCTGGAACAATTTCAAAATGCTCTAAAATGGAAATTTCCTGTTTCCACAGGGTAATTCCACTTTAGATCAACAGTATACAGCCCCACAGTGATACCATATCAATATCAAGTCATTCTGATTATGCCTTCCAAAATAAAAGCCTTTTTAAATTGTCCATAATTGACCTAACTTTCAGTGATTTCAAAATGCTCTAAAATGGAAATTTCCTGTTTCCACAGGGTAATTCCACTTTAGATCAACAGTATACAGCCCCACAGTGATACCATATTAATATCAAGTCATTCTGATTTTGCCTTCCAAAGTAAAAGCCTTTTCAAATTGTCCACAATTGACCTAACTTTCAGTGATTTCAAAATGCTCTAAAATGGAAATTTCCTGTTTCCACAGGATAATTCCACTCCAGATCAACAGTATACAGCCCCACAGTGATACCATATCAATATCAAGTCATTCTGATTATGCCTTCCAAAATAAAAGACTTTTCAAATTGCCAAGATATGACCTACTCTTTTAAAGATTTCAAAATGCTCTAAAAGTGAAAATTGCTGTTTCCACAGGATAATTTCACTTTAGGTCAACAGTATACAACCTCACGATGTTACCATATCAATTTCAAGTAATTCTGATTATGCCTTCCAAAATAATGGCCTGTTGAAAATGCCCATAATTGATCTAACTTTCAGTGATTTCAGAATGCTCTAAAAAGGAAGATTTCAGTTTCCACAGGGTAATTCCACTTTAGATCAACAGTATACAACCTCACGATGTTACCATGTCAATTTCAAGTCAGTCTGATTTTGCTTTTCAAAATAAAAGCTTTTTCAATTTGCCCATATATGACTTACTCTTGGAGCGAATTCAAAATGCTCTAAGATGGAAAATTGCTGTTTCCACAGCATAATTCCACTTTAGATCAATAGTATCCAACCCCACAGTGATACCATATCAATATCAAATCAGTCTGATGTTGCCTTCCAAAATAAAAGACTTTTCAAATTGCCGATATACGACCTACTCTTTTAAAGAATTCAGAACGCTCTAAAAATGAAACTTGCTCTTTCCACAGGATGAATCCATGTTAGATCAAAAGTGTACATCCACACCATGGTACTACTTCAATTTCAAGTCATTCTGATTTTGCCTTCCAAAATAATGGCCTGTTGAAAATGCCAATAACTTACCTAACTTTCAGTGATTTCGGAATGCTCTAAAAAGGAAATTTTCTGTTTCCACAGAATAATTTCACTTTAAATCAACAGTATACAACCCCACAGAGATACGATGTTAAGATCAAGTCACTCTGATTTTGCCTTCCAAAATAAAAGTATTTTCAAATTGCCCGTAGACGACCTACTTGTTTAACGATTTCAAAATGCTCTTAAATTGAAAGATGCTGTTTCCACAGGATAATTCCACTTTAGATCAACAGTATCCAACCCGACAGTAAAACCATGTAAATTTCATGTTGGTCTGATTTTGCCTTTCAAATTAATGGCCCGTCGAATTTGTCCATATGTGATATACTCTTTCAATTATTTCAGAATGTTTTAAAAATGAAAATTGCTGTTTCAACACATATTGGGTTTTCATTTTGAAAAGCAAAATCAGACTCAATTGATTATGACAGAATTGAATCATAAAGATGATGTAAAAGGAAGCTGAAATTGCCACTAGGTTGTAATTGATAGTACGTTTATATTTTAAATCTGTGGAAAGATGTCATGGTTGGTTTGCAAGCTGTTTTGTAATTTCTTTATTTAGAATGACATCTTTGTGGACAATTTGAAAAGGCTTTTACTTTGGAAGGCAAAATCAGAATGACTTGATATTAATATGGTATCACTGTGGGGCTGTATACTGTTGATCTGGAGTAGAATTATCCTGTGGAAACAGGAAATTTCCATTTTAGAGCATTTTGAAATCACTGAAAGTTAGGTCAATTGTGGACAATTTGAAAAGGCTTTTACTTTGGAAGGCAAAATCAGAATGACTTGATATTAATATGGTATCACTGTGGGGCTGTATACTGTTGATCTAAAGTGGAATTACCCTGTGGAAACAGGAAATTTCCATTTTAGAGCATTTTGAAATTGTTCCAGGATCAAGTCAGATATGGGCATTTTGAAAATGCTTTTATTTTTGAAAGCAAAATCAGAATGACTTGATATTGATATGGTAACATCGTGAGGTTGTATACTGTTGAACTAAAGTGAAATTATCCTGTGGAAACAGCAAAATTCTGTTTAAGAACATTTTGAAATCGTCAAAAAAGTAGGCCGTATATGCTCAATTTGAAAGGGCATTTATTTTGGAAGGCATAATCAGAATGACTTGATATTGATATGGTATCACTGTGGGGCTGTATACTGTTGATCTAAGGTGGAATTACCCTGTGGAAACAGGAATTTTCCATTTTAGAGCATTTTGAAATCACTGAAAGTTAGGTCAATTGTGGACAATTTGAAAAGGCTTTTACTTTGGAAGGCAAAATCAGAATGACTTGACATTGATATGGTATCACTGTGGGGCTGTATACTGTTGATCTAAAGTGGAATTACCCTGTGGAAACAGGAAATTTCCATTTTAGAGCATTTTGAAATCACTGAAAGTTAGGTCAATTGTGGACAATTTGAAAAGGCTTTTACTTTGGAAGGCAAAATCAGAATGACTTGACATTGATATGGTATCACTGTGGGGCTGTATACTGTTGATCTAAAGTGGAATTACCCTGTGGAAACAGGAATTTTCCATTTTAGAGCATTTTGAAATCACTGAAAGTTAGGTCAATTATGGACAATTTGAAAAGTCTTTTATTTTGGAAGGCATAATCAGAATGACTTGATATTGATATGGTATCACTGTGGGGCTGTATACTGTTGATCTAAGGTGGAATTACCCTGTGGAAACAGGAATTTTCCTTTTTAGAGCATTTTGAAATCACTGAAAGTTAGGTCAATTATGGACAATTTGAAAAGGCTTTTATTTTTGAGAGCAAAATCAGAATGACTTGATATTGATATGGTATCACTGTGGGGCTGTATACTGTTGATCTAAAGTGGAATTACCCTGTGGAAACAGGAATGTGCCATTTTAGAGCATTTTGAAATTGTTCCAGGAGCAACTCAGATATGGGCAGTTTGAAAATGCTTTTATTTTTTAAAGCAATATCAGAATGTTTTGATATTGATATGGTAACATCGTGAGGTTGTATACTGTTGATCTGGAGTGGAATTACCCTGTGGAAACAGGAAATTTCCATTTTAAAACATTTTGAAATCACTGAAAGTTAGGTCAATTATGGACAATTTAAAAAGGCTTTTATTTTGGAAGGCATAATCAGAATGACTTGATATTGATATGGTATCACTGTGGGGCTGTATACTGTTGATCTAAGGTGGAATTACCCTGTGGAAACAAGAATTTTTCATTTTAGAGCATTTTGAATCGTTAGAAGATTAAGTCAATTATGGACAATTTCAAAGGGCCATTACTATGAAAGGCAAAATCAGACTGACTTGATATTGATATGGTATCACTGTAAAAAGACTGTGGTTGGAAAGTGTTGATATAAAGTTCAAATAGTATTTGGAAATACGACTTTTGCTTTTAAGAGCATTATTAAGTCATTGAAAGAGTAGTTCAAAAATGAAGATTCACAGGGCTTTTACTTTGAAATCCAAAATAAGATGGCCT